GTGTGTGTGTGTGTGTGTGTATGCATGTGTGTGTGTGTGAAGAGAGAGAGAGAGAGAGAGAGAGAGAGAAAGAGAGTGTGTGAGTGTGAGAGAGAGTGTATGTGTGTGTGTGTATGTGAGAGTCCAGAAGGGTTTAAATCATAGGTACTGTATTAATATATTAACTGACAGATTCCTCTCAAGCATTTTAAGAGTTGCAGCACTGAAGCAGAAAACAACGAATAGCTGCACCACAGTGTGTTGGGCGGCCGGCGTACAAAGGACGGTCACTACACACCACAATCAACACTGTGACTTTAATTCAGTATTTTTACACTGAGCTTTTGAAGGCAGGAACGTGACTTTAATCTTTAAAGCTGAGTCCTACCTGAGCTCCACAGCAGCAGCAACAGCACCAACAGCTGATCCATGTCCACGTCCACCGTCTGTTTCCTCTCGTCTGTCCGACTCGTCATCTCTTCCCCCGCTTATGAAATGTTTCCTCTTCCTCTTTTATCTCCTCATCAGCGAGATCAGAGCTCAGATGAGGAGCTTCTCAGAACTTCATTTCACAACTTATTGAAGCAAATATTGAAATATTGAAATACGGCCTCAAAGCTTAATACATCATTTTAAACGATGAATCTGAAATGAGCCAATCAATGTGGTCGTACTTTTGAAGCATTTTGACTTAACTTCAAGTGAAGTTCTGCAGAATGAAATGAAGCACAGAAATGAATGTGCTTTGTATTTTTGAAGCATTTTGATTCTACACATTCTAGTAGTTGACCTTTGACCCCATGAAGTCAGAAATATGTTTTGATTTGAGTAAAACCTGATTCAGGCACCGGTTCAGTTCAGTCGGTAGAGCTGGCGAGCAATGTAAGGTGTTGCTGCAGCGGCCTGGGTTGGAATCCGACCTGCGGCCCTTTGCTGCGTGTCATCCCCTCTCTCTGCCCCCCTTTCCTGTCTGTCTTCAGCTGTCACTATCAATAAAGGCAATAAAAGGCCCAAAAAAACCTGATTCAAAGTTTCTTTTCACGATTAGTATTTTTGGAGATTGAAGACAAACAATCCAATTATGATGACTCGTCCCCTGGGACTCCTGCCTGTGATGACTCAGTGTTTGTTCTTATTTTCAGCCTTTCAGTGTGACTGAGCTTTGCTTGGTGGCTTTTGGTTTTGGTCAGTGTGTTTGCTGGTTCCCTTCCACCCTCACCCTCTCTCTCTGCTCAGCGGCCTCCCATCCAGACCGTAAGAACCCTGCTGGATGGTTGAGCCATACACAGTACGTTATGTTCCTCACTTCTGCTCAGGAAGCGTCCCAGAAACTATGTGATGAAATAAAAACCCTCCTGTATGTTTCGCAATACATAGTGTGAGGTTGCCATGGTAACGGAGTATAATCTGTAGACTGACATCAGCTCATCAGTTACTGCCCGCAGCTTCCTGTCAGAGAGAAAACACGCAGCTGTAATCAGGTATGAAAATGTTTAAAAAAATCTTCAAATCTGAATTCAGATCAGCAAATGTATTGAGACTTATATACTTATAATATTATATATTAAATATGTGGACAAATCTGTAAATGCAGACATATATATTATTGCTGAGAAGTCTCAGTATTTGCTCCAAGAGCTGGAAATACAAAATTTGATCTTGTCCTCCGACCTCGACCCAGTTGGAGCTCAGTTGTGGCTGGAAAGTGGTTATAATATTGCGTATTCTTGCTTGTGCTAGCTGTATTAGCAGTCACCATTAGTCACCATGCCGTCTCACCAGGTGAGTTTTAAGATCTGTTGTGCTACTGCTGGACTTAATCGCTGTCCGGCAGATCTTACAAATGTACTTTCCTTCTTATAAAATCGAAATGTCTTCCAAACTTTGGATTTTAGATTTGATGGCGCATTGTAAATTCTTGTTGTCATGGAGCCACGCTGCGCTAACGTTACTCAAGTCACTCTTGTGGCATTGACCTTTCACCTTTTCTGAGAGTGGAGACGTGAAGCCTGTCAACCGGTACATGGGACATTAGGATCCATCCAAACTGATTTCTACGGTAAATCTTTACAACCCTAATTATTAGAACTATTTACTTGAACTTATAAAAAGTAAATGTACTCATAATGCTGAAAAATAACCTGTGTGTTGGGCGCCCGGTTAGTTCAGTTGGTAGAGCTGGCGACCCATGTACTGAGGCTGAGTCCTTGCTGCAGCGGCCCAGGCTTCGAGTCCAACCTGCGGCCCTTTGCTGCGTGTCATCCCCTCTCACTGCCCCCCTTTCCTCTCTACCTTTGGCTGTCTCTATCAATTAAAGGCAATAAAGGCCCCAAAAAATAACCTGTGTGTTTTACTCCGATCCACTGTATAATTGATGTATTATTAATTATACATTCATGTGTAATTTTGCTGTTGTAGCTTATTTAACATGATGATCATGTGTAACATATATTTTGTACATACAACTTTGGTCTGTAAAGTAGCTAAAGCTGTCTGATAATTGTAATGGAGTTAAAGTATAAAGTAGCATAGAATGGATGCAAGTACCTGAGATTTAATGTTACTCTGCAACATGTTACAGTAAAATGATTAACAAATACATAGTATGGAAATTAACTGGGTGTATACTTAGTGATTATTGACATTAACATGGCTATTAATACCAGTACTGATACCTGTAAGAACATAAAGTATTAATATGAATATTTTTGAGAAGGTGGAGTTGTAGTTTGTCACTGTGACCACTAGAGGGCAGCGATTCATGATCATTTCAGTTTGTGAAAGAAGAACAGAGAACATCCAGTCAGGAAGACACAGGAGACAAAGTGAAGACATCAGATCACATCAGCTTTCTGCTCAGCTCCTCATTTATTGTCAGCGTCCAGCAGATAATGATTCACATTAGGGTTGAAAACCTTCACCAAACAGTTTGCTCAAACTAGTTCAAAATCTTTTCACAGCTGCTTTGCCATCTTTTTTTCCATCTGAAGGTTATGTGTGATTACAGGTTGGTGTCAGCTGATGATATTCTGCTGTACATTGGTCCTGGAGAACTACTGCACAGGACGGATCTTCATGCTGATGGTCTTCAGGGAGTAGTCATGACCCTTCCAATGTTTCCACTCCACTCCAACAGCAAAGATAGTACCATCAGCCCCCCAACGATAAACTCCATTGGGATTTGAACGGTGACAATCATTGTACCAGAACGCCCCCAGGAAGAATTTGGCACAGTTCCTGTCTGAGGAGTCCTGGTCTTTGTCGAAGGTGGAGAACTTCTGTCCGTTGTGATAACTCAGTCCGTCTCCTACAGAAACACAGCAAGTGTATAATCACAACATTATGATAACACAACTAACAGTGGTACATTTTAAACCTGTATTTACATTGTGTTGCTGTCTGTCAGGAACACTCTGCTCATACTCACACAGCTTCACACACTCACCCAGTACAACCAGTACAGCTGGTGCCCAGTACAACCACAGTCTGCTTGACGAACTGTCAACTGTCCACCTACTTATTACTACTAACACAACAACTGAACTAACCAGACACTCTCACTATTATGACATAACAATATATTCACATACTGAGTCAGCTTCAACGACTTAGCAAATGAGCAGAGAGTTTGGAACAGTTCACTATTAACAGATAAATAAAATGATGTGGAGTTGATGGCGGGTACAAGTACTCATACTCTGTCGACTACTACTCCTACAAATAGTACTGAGGCTTCTGTGAAGTCTGTGAGTTCAGATAAATAAACTGAGACATACAAAACACAAATGTTTCATTTTTCTCTTAAATTTGTTTATAAAAACTTATTTAGTGAAAAATATATAAAACCTTAATGTGATCCATGAAACATCAGCAACCACTGATTTGTGCAAGCATATGCACTTTGGATGAATGAGTCTCTGTTCAAACAACTAAAATATCTATACCTGTAACTGCACTTGCAGTGGGCGGGGCTTCAAGCAGAACTGGGTGGGATAAGCGAGAATACCCTCAGATCAGTGTTTTATAAAAACACACCTAGTAACTGGCAGTAGGGGAATCCAATGAGGACTTTACTTCATTACAAGTACAGATATTGACTTTCTTTTTTTTTTAAAGTACATTATCTGTAACCTCCTAATAAGCCTAATAAGGACATCTGATAAAAACCAATACTAGTCTATTTCTCAAGCTAGCTAGAAAATCCTCCCCTGAATATGCTAACATTAACTCACCTGCCCCTTCATCAGTGAATCCAGATACATTCAGTCTGTATCCGTGGGACTCTGGGTCAATGGAGAATGAGGAGTAACGAGCAAACACTTTATTTCCCTCAAAGTCCTCCATGTCAACCAGCAGCTCGTACTTTTTCCTCAGAGTCAGGTGGAAGAGATTCTCAAGACCTGAAAACAAACACACACACAGAAACATCTAGAAACAGTTTCAGGAAGTCACACAACTGTTAGTTTGGTTCCATTTCTCACCGAGCCAGTACTCTCCAGCAGCGCTACCGAAGCCCGTCTTGTACTGGTCCCAGGGTCTGTAGAAGTTCACTGAGCCGTCCATCCTCCTCTGGAACACCTGGAGGGGTGTAAATCATGTTTTACTAACATGATTTATTGTGAAGGTCCTACAGGAAGTGTTCACACTGGAAGTAACTTGGTTGTGACTCAATGACGCTGATTTCAGTTAAAATACTCACCGTCAATGTTAGCCTGCTGAAGCTGTCTTACCCTCAATTGTTTCTGATGATCAAACAGGCTTTCTTAAAAATAATTGTATCTATCTAATATCCTTTATGATCCCACTCCACGCGAGCCTCCAGAAATATAAATATCACTTGATGCCAAGAAGGCATTTGATCGAGTGGGATTATCTTCTTTATACTCTCAAACCATTTGGCTTTGGTTCAAGATTTGTCTCGTGGATAAGGGTGCTCTATTCCTCTCCATTGGCAGCTCTCCGAACAAACAGCAATCTCTTCTATTTCTCAGTTTGTTGTATCACTTGACAGGGTTGCTCGTTGTCGCCCCTTTTATTTGCTGTTGCTGCCTAACCATTCGCAATCACACTGCATGGTGAAGCCAGCATTAAGGGAATACAGAGAAAAGGTATCTCTTTATGTTGATGACATGCTTTTATACCTATCATCAGGATCAAAGGTTCATTTACAAAAAAGAGAGATTATGCCGGTGATTATTTCTGCCACTTTGATTGCATTTTATTCATTCCTTAAAATACGTACATATAAATTGAAGTACTTAAGAATCTGGGTCACACATGACTTTAAAGACTTTATTTCCCCCCACTGCTATTTCACCTGAAAGAAGATTTGTGTGTTATTATTACTTATTTTTTTTATCATGCTATTACTTACTTATTATTAATTATTATAGCTTTTTTTATTATTTATTGTGCTTTTACACTTTTGCTATTATTATTTTCCTTTCTGTGTCTTATTGACATTTTTTGTTATATTGACTATATTTATATATACATGTAACTCCTTATGAATTAATTGTTTGATTACTAACGGTACAGTGATTTTTAACAGGGATGGGGCTCTCTTGGAGCAGGAAGATGGGGTGGAGCTTATCTATCTGTTTACCAGTAAAAAGTCAATACTCACCGTCCACCGTCCTCCTTCTGAGTCCATGTCACAGTACACCTACACACAGACATACTCATTAGTAAATGTGATACTTGGCTAAATATACATCCAATGTACTACAACCAGTACTAGTATTACTACACCGCACGCCCAACTGGAAGCAAGAGCTTTATCGTCTAAAGGTCGACCTGTGTCCCAGAGAGGATGAGGTACCTGAACAGCAGATGTGGCTCCGATGGGATAGATGGTGTACACTCCCGTGGACTGGCTGTTGTCATTATTATAGATGTCGCTGCAGTCCACTGGGAGGACCAGAGGGATGCAGCTGGTTAATACTGGAGCCAGGAGGAGGAGGAGGACTGATAGCAGCTGGAACAGAGGAGATGTTGTCATTTTGATTCATAAAAACCCTGTTTACAGTTTGAACATTTCTGACTTTGAACCCAGCGCTGTGTTGAAACCATACCCAATGTGGGTATTTAGCCAGGCTCGATGCACATTTAAGTCAATCTGGTGTCTCTCTCAGACACAGAGACTGGATGACTGTAAAACCCCAGTTCAAAGATTAGTTTAAAATGTCTTTACAAAATGAGGATTTACCAACTGGAAAAGTGCTTTGGAGGACAGGAGACTGACTAAGATTCATAGTAAATAATGTCTATTCAGATATAACATAAACTCACATTTAATTAAAACATATGTAAGGTAGCGTTAGGCAGCCAGAGAGGATAAAGACCTGGAGGGAAGTGCTACATACAGAAACTGTGACAAACTTGTGTCACCACACAATATTTTAAATAATCTTACTGAAGCTGCTGACAAACTAAAACTACTGATAAACACTTAAAGTTAGTTACAAACTTACCTTCATGGTCAGATTTCTGCTGAATTGAGCAGATGGAAATCCTGATGTCAGTGTCTCTGGACGCTCTGATTTCTCTGACGTGTCTCTCGCTTATTTATATTCCAAAGATCACATTTACTGAACAGCTGCTGTTTCCCAACGATAAGGTGTATATGTATTATATGTCCTTGAGTGTGTGTGCCTTTGGATGACACAATGTTGGCACCAAACCTGACCAGCAGTGTGGGGCAGTCCAATCCAACTGTTCATGCCATAAACTTTGGAATGCAGTTATATTTAAAAGATGTGTATTCATCAAATGCAATGACTTTAGGACCAAGTGACGCTTAGAGGATGATTGCTGTGCATACTAGTTTGGTGGTGAGGCTTCAATAAAAGTTCCTGGTTCATCCGTATATGGATCTAAGATTACTGACAGATGTTCCTGTGGTGCCAGACAGCGTAGTTGATGTATGGATCAGAAGCCTGGAAATATGACCCATCCTGCTGATGAGTGCGAGGACTGGTCCAAAGATTATATATCAAATATATGTTAATATCAAAACATAGGAGGCTAACATCGTGGCGTGACATCAGGATTTCCATCAGCTCAATTCAGCAGAAATCTGACCATGAAGGAGTGAAATGCATGATAGTCTACAGGCCACCCAAACGATGCTCTTCTTTTATTTTAGATTTCTCCTGTCAATTATCCACAACAGTTATAACAGAATTATTATTTAAGGTGATTTTAACTCTTTTGCTTTGAAATTTGTAAATCTATACTGTATACATTTTATTAGATCACACTTTAGGTCTTATAATAACCCACAGCCTGTCTGCCAGTATCTCTTCAGTTGTGGATATAGAAATCTCACTTCTGTGTCTTTTTTACTGTCAGTGGTTTTATACAACAGGATATTCCAGAGCGAACTGTTAGAAAGTGCTATCACACTGCTAAAGTGAACATAGCTCTAGAGTTTATACCGTTACAATGTTACACATTATAGCTTCAAGTCCACATATAATGTCAATGGGCTGTCCTTAATCTCTTTATATAAGCACTTGTGTAATTCACTTTTCAGTGTGGCCCGTAATCCTCCTCCTCCCCCTCCTGACAACATCATGGTTTAATCCACAGATGATGACATCACTCTGTTATTCTGTCGTTTCTTTGGCAGAAAAGCATAGAAACAGACTGTCACTCATGCAGAAGATAACTGATGCATGTACATAAATACATACAGTATATAACAGTGGAAATATATAACACCTTTTTTTTACTGATGGCATAAAATGTAAGCAGCCTTTTATTGTGAAGTTACTTTGAACTATCTTATGACCCTGCTCATGTTCTGTCTCTCTGATTAAACCTTCCCTCCGCGCTGTCGGTGCAACCTGGCCTCCAAATTAAACAAAAACACGTCGACAAAACTAGAGAGCCAGTCACTTAAAAAAAACCTCAGTTTAGTGGCAGGACTAATTACATCATAAGTAACCAAATCTATCAGACAATGTAGTGGTTAAACAGTAGAAAGTTGCATAAAATGAAAATACTCGAGTAAAGTACAAGGAGCAGGAAGGTGTACTAAAGGGTCCAGTGTGTAACACTGAGGAGGATCTATTGTCATCAGTATGTTGTATGTTTTCATTAGTGTATAATCACATCTGAAAATAAGAATCCAGTTGGTTGCAATGTACAACTTCACCACTAGAGATCACTAAATCCGACACGCTGGTCCTTTATGTACAGCAATAAATGATCATATTGCTCTAACTGTACTCTACAGAGCAAAAAGGATCATTGGTTTGGAAAGGTGTTTTGAGTTTGTCCAGTATTCACTCTCTTTTAGTTCTTGGGTTAGGGTTGCTAAATGCTCCACTATGTTCACCAGCAAGTCTCTGTGTCCGTCTGCTGTTTGCTGCTCAGCAGGTACTCTACTTTTTACTGCTCTTTTCTCTGAAAAAGATGCTCTGAGATAAAGTTGTATCAATGAGCTCAAAGTCACTATAAAGGTGTGTAAAGCGGAGGAGAGTTGCAGATTATTATTCACCAGAGACACTGACACAATTTCAGTTCATACATTGTTATAAAATACTCATTAGAGCTGCTCAAAGTTTTCTATTAAAGTAGAAAAAAAGAACTCACTGTCACTCTCTCCGTGATCATCCCGTGACCTCACTAAAGCAGAGAGAGAGAGAGAGAGAGAGAGAGAGAGAGAGAGAGAGAGAGAGAGAGAGAGAGAGAGACAACAGCTGTCAGACAGACTGATTGAAAACAAACTGAAGCTTCACATTCAGCTTTTAACTGATGGGTTTCCATCTTGTTTTTGACTCTGTTTTGCTGACGTCGTCGTCGCTGGGATTTACTGGTTTTTCTGTTTGGATATAAACATGATGGAGCCTCCTCACAGCAGCCTGAACAGTCTGAGTGTGGAGCTGAAGAGTCTGCAGCTGTGTGACAGGGAAGGTCAGTGAATAATAGGTGTGTGACCCATTATTATTGTAGGTCGACACATCAGTTTCTTTGTATTTGTTTTGCGCGTAGTTAATTTGTATCTCTGTGGTTGTTTTATGTCTCTTTGTAGCGATGTTGTGTCTCACTGTGGTCATTTTTTGTTTCTCTGTATTTGTTTTGTGTGTCTTTGTGGCAGGACAGATTTGATCTTGAGACACATAATGACTACAAACACTGATGCATGATATGTCAGTAAAATAAGGAAAAGTAACATTATTTATTACATTATTATAAACTAAGGATTTTTTAAATGCCTGATTGGAGGAGTTGATGCACCAGAGGTCAGCTAATAAATCTGCTGGTAAATGAGCTGAAGTTGCTGGATACTTTACAGATAAAAATTAAATAGTAAAATGCTGCTCAAACAGTACAAGTATATACCTACAGGAAATGTTTCAGAACACACTGGTTCTTTGTGAGTCTCAGTGTGTTGTGTTACCGTTGTTGAACGTTGTTGAACGTTGTTGAAGCGGTGACTGAGGCGTTCAGGGGAACCAGAGCGAGGAGCAAACTCTGCTGGTTCTGTTGTTCAGATGAATCCTGCTGCTGTCACATGTCAGAGTTCCAAAACCTCAATTAGCCTGAAGGAGAAACTAAAACGTTCACAGTGTGCAGAAGCACAGCACAGCTTTTAAACAAGTGCTTAAAACGGACTGAGTGGACTTTTCTCTAAAGACAAAACAACTGCTCTGGATCACTCGTGGGCAGTATTTACTGCTCCGGACCTCCTGGTGGTGCAGTTACTGAAATATGTAGATCTATAAAACCATGTGGCACACACCAGTAGGAAGTCTTCTTGTAAATACCTACCTGCAGTAAATTGTGTGCACGTACCCTTCCCAGTGTCGTTGCATAATCCATATATATCTATATATAGTCAATGCTAAACGGCTCATGAATATGCCAGTGTTTAAGGAGCCTTTGTTGGATTATCAATGAGGGAAAGATGGAGCAGTTTAGTATTTGTGGAAGGTCATTGTGCTCTCTCTAGAACAGAGTCCCTAAGAGGAAATGGGCAAAGCAAAATCTTTACGTTTTCCAGCTTCAGCTTCCAGAGATGGTGAAAGACCATTAAGCAGCAGAAGAGGATATATTGTGTACGTCCACCTATACCCATGGAGTTTACCAGATGTTTGTAATTGATTTAGATCATTTACTGTAGCACAATTACCAGACAGTACCACACTGTGTAAATTCTCCATTTCAAGTAAAAGTCCAGCATTTAAAATTTGATTGAAGTAAAAGTATGTATGCCTAAGAATTATCTCCGAAATGTAGGCCTACCTAAAGTATCAAAGTAAAGTAATTGTCATTGCTATATCATTACAGTATTGGATCATTAGTATTGATACAATACTACAAGCTGTAATTTAATCTTGTAGTTGCACTGCAGTTCATATACTTCTACATAGTTTAATATAAAACAATACATCATATTTTATTTTTTCTGCATAAAATCTGAAAAATCAAATGTAAAAGTAAAAAGTGGTGAGATAAAAGTACAATATTTGAGATGTAGTGGAATAGGAAGTGAGAAGAAAATACTCAAGTAAAGTACTTTAAATCAGACATGCACTGTTTCCCCACTGCTGACTGAGGATGATCTGAGTCTGTGCTCTGAGCAGAGCAGCAGTTTACAGACTGCATCAGATTAGCATCAGGATCCGCCTGAGTTCAAAAGGCTTCATAGGAAGAGTCGAGTTTTGGGATTCCTGCATCCAGTGAAGGTCTCTCAGCTCAGACAATCCTGTTTCCAAAGGTCCAACATACACAAGTTAGCTGGATGCTGCTTTACGTTTGTCTGCAAGTTCAGAAACTGAAATGGCCAACTGGTTAGTGGCCCTCTGCTTTAGAGTGTGACATTGTAGGTTTCATTTCTGGACACGCAGGGTCAAGCTGCTCTCGTGTGATTAACGTTGTGAAACAGTTACAGTTTGATTAGGTTTAGGAAGAAGATTACTTGAATATGTTGCTGAAAAGACATTGATCTGATTAATGGGGGTGAAAATGCACTTTTTTTCTTTCAAATATCAGACAGACTATCAAACAATAAAAAATTGCTTTCTCTCTGCAGAGCTTTTTTTGGGATTGTTGCAGGCTTAAATTCCTTATTTCACAGCAGCTTTTCTAAAGATTGCTTTGCATGTTGCAATGTTTTTAGGCATTTTTATGCAATAACCTTGTAAGAGAAAGTGAAAATTGCAAAAATACTTGTATAATTCATAAAAAAAAACTGAAGGCATCTTCCAGTTGCATTGAGAATAACATCTCTAGTAGTTAGGTGAAGTATGGCTCAACATGGGGGACTGCTTGGTAAAATTTGTGAAAAGGTTGCAGTGATTGGACAAAATTGCAAGGTTGCGGAGAATTTGCAATAATGTGACAGTCATTGTTGGCAGTGAGAACATTCTAATAAATAAAACTGGAAATGATATCTATCACAAAATTTGAACTGAGGCGACCAAAAGAGAATGAACACAACTCGCTAACCTGTTTTACAATAGGTTAGTGTTGAACCCAGTTAACATTACAATAGTTAGCCTGCAGTATTTCCCTTTCCCCACATGCTCATGTGACTGATAGGGTCAGTTACTGATGATCTCCACCACAGTGCACGTGTTTAATTGCACTTATTTGAACAGAAGTTGATGAACGGGGCCGAACTGTCAAATAAAAAATAAAATAAAATCTTTAGCAGATATTGGATCTGAAGTTTTCTTGTAGTCCTATATTGTTATAAACTTCAGTGGATGGAGCCATGTTTTAGGAAACTTTAACCTGGTGTTAATAATGTTGAAGTAAATGAGAATGTTTGCAGTGAATGCAGATCAGTCACAGAGGCGGACAGGTGAAGAAGTTTCTCTGTTGTGGACTGAAACCTGGCAGCAGCTTCAGTCTGGTGGATCTCCAGAGATCTCTGTGGCTAATTACCTTCCCAGGATGGATGAATAGATGCTTCACCTCCTCCATTAACTGAAAGGATGGGGGGATGAGGAGGAGGAGAGGGGAGCAACCAGTTATGTAAACAGGAAGGAAGTGTAAAAGAAGAGTAAACTGAACTGAGCCTGTTGCAGAGACAGCTTGTAGTGGATTTTAATAACATTTTCATTGTAGGTGTGGTATCAGTACTTGTACTGTAGTAAAGGATCTAAATACTTATAAATACTAGGTGTACAGCCCAAAGTGTTTAATTCAAAGTCTCATTTCTAAAGACTACAGACCTTTTCCTCCATGTGGCCCCTGGAATAAAACGTTTGGACACCCCTGATTTAATGAGTTTCCTGTTGATCATCAGACGCCAGTCGTAACAAGATGTTACGCTGGCAGTTTGAACTGTCCTCCGCCTCCTCAACAGGCTCCTTGTTCAGCCTGCGAGCTCTCTGAGTCTCTGCTAACTGAAGCCTTTTGTCCTCTGAGCCGAATGCTGGAGAGAGGAGGGAGGGAAGGAGGGATGGAGACAGAGAGGGGGGGGTAAACAGGTTAGATACAGGGGTGGATGGAAAACAGAAAACCTTCACTGCTAAGGTTTAATGTTAACGTAGCATTTTATTCCAGTTTCGTGTTCATTCTGAGACACAGCCGTGCTGTGAACTAAATGCTAGCATGCTCAAAATGACAGTGCTAACACGCTGTATAATGTTTTCCACATTTATCATTTTAGTTTAGCATTAGCATGCTAACTTTTGCTAATAATCAGTAAACACAAAGTAGAGGCTGATGCAAATACAATCAGTTCTGCAGGTATTTGGTCATAGAGAGCTGCTGGGATGACGTATTATTGTAGTCCTGAAGTTAGCTTCGACAAACAGCCCACGGGATTGTCCCATTCCAAAGTCCTCTGTTAAAAATGTACAGTGTGTCCTGACAGATACTAACTTGCATATGTTGGACAATTAGCACAACTTATTAATAATCAGCTATATGGACACAGGAGTGGTTGAAGGAGTTATTGAGGACAGACAAATTATTGGCCATTAATGGGAAATTCATATTATATACAACAGTTAAGAGTTTACAATAAAATGTAACTGTGTTATTTACACATGTTCAGGCACAGAGTCTGCAGACAGCAGCATGGGGGACGTGGACAACCTGCCAGTTCCTCAGCAGATCCGGATCAGTAACATCACCTGTGATTCTTTCAAAATCAGCTGGGACGTAGACCACAGGGGCCGAGAGAGGATCACACACTACTTCCTCGACCTCAACAAGAAGGAGAACAACAACTCCAACAAGTTCAAACATAAGGTTGGTAGAAGATCAGCTGATCAGCGTCAGTTTGTAGGAAAAGTCAAGTTTGTTTGGAAAACTTTGGATAGACTGATTATTGGATCCAATATTCAGCATTTTTCTAATTATCTATCAGGTTTTTTAAATCTGATTGCTGATAAGATAAATAAGAAATGTTTTGGTCCAGTAAAAGTGTGTTAATATATATTAGTTTTTAACATGATGGCTGTCATTGTTGTGCCAATTTTGACTACTTTGTACTGCTGGGATGCTTAATCAAGAATGACACATCATCATTTATTAGTTGATTTATATTTTGTGTTAACAATGTTAATCTGTACAGTAACTAAGGTTAATAAATAAATGTAGTAGAAGTATAAAGCAGTTAAGCACAACCTGCGTATTGTACTTACCTGCAGGACGTGACTCCACCCCTGATTGAGTTATATTTTTACTGCAAATGTTCAGTTCCAAATATCAGTTATTTCTTTCATTGATGCTAATTATTTGTATCTGTATTGTCGTCCACATGAGTAGCCTTATGTCTTCATGCATATCGCCACCTCCTGGTCAGTCTAGGTCCGCAATCTGAACATCCGCGTACCACAACCGATATTCTGAAAAGACCCACCCTACTCTGCATCTGATTGGCTTGTGTCCGCTGCCTTTGTTGGTTTGGTTGGTCAGAGTTATGTGTGTGAAACTAATGTCAGGGTCAATCAGCCAATCAGAAGCAGAGTAGAGGCGTAAACACAGTTACACTGTGGTCAGCAGGGTGCAAACTACAGGGGAGCCAGGGGGAGCTCCTCTTAATAAGACATGAGCTCCCTGAAAACTTTGTGTATTTTCATCAAGATGATATGCCAGATGATATTTATTCTTATTGAACTTTTCTTTAATCAGCTAAATAAGAACGGTTGAAATAAAATCTCCTTTTCAGTGGTGACCTGGTCAACAAAACAGCAAAGTTTCACATTGAGTGCCAATTACATACATCAAATTATTACAAAACCATATTATACAGGATAAGAGTTTGTTTTATCATCATCAACCACAGGGGTTAAATGAGCACAGAAATTAATGAACAAAATGATTCAGGCATGGGCGCCCGGTTAACTCAGTCGGTAGAGCTGGCAACCCGGATACCGAGGCTGAGTTTGAATCCGACCTGCGGCCCTTTGCTGCGTGTCATCCCCTCTCTCTGCCCCCCTTTCCTGTCTGTCTTCACCTGTCATTATCATAAAGGCAATAAAAGCCCCCCAAAATACTTAAAATGATTAATGCATTGCAGTAAGAACATTTTGTAATAAAAACTTCAAATAGTTTAAAATGTGTTAGAGAGACAAGGGAGGCGAGACCGATGCTCACTCCAAGACCATGTACCGTAGTGAAACAGTCCACACAGGTGGATTATTGTTGGATCTAAGATTGTAGATATTATGTACAAGTATTGATGTATGTTTCATCAGTAATTCACTTTAATAAAGATATTGGCATCCATGCTTTTCTTGCCATCATAAACTTCCTTCACTTTAACTCAAATACCAGAACAGAACAAGAAAGAAAAGATTAAAATACATTTGCAAATCTCTATTTTCTTGCAGATACTTACTGTTTATTTAATAGATTAATCTGTTAAATTCAAGTTTAATATTGTTAATACATCTAAAATATTTATTAATGAATAATTTCTGTAATTTCACAGATAATTATTTTAATTACAAATATATTTTGATTAAAATAACTAAAACAAATAACAACAGCACTCTTCTGTTAACTTAAGCCTGATTATTTTTAAAAAAATGTAAAATAAAAGCTGAAAACTGTATTTTAATAATATTTAATAATAGAGTAGTCTGTTGTCAGGGAGTCCCGTGCTCACAGTGTTACTGCTGATCTGTGTATATCCTATAGATTGAAACTGTAAGGATATTGAGGGAAAACACAACCACACAGTTTTGGATCTGTCCAAAGACACAAATCTGTCCTCCACCTCCTGCGTCTTTGTCTTTCAGGACGTACCGACGAAGCTGGTGGCGAAGGTGGTTCCCCTGCCGATGACGGTGAGAGGTCATTGGTTCCTGAGTCCTCGCACAGAGTACACCGTGGCCGTCCAGACTGCTGCCAAGCAGCCGGACGGAGACTACGCGGTCTCTCAGTGGAGCGAGGTCATCGAGTTCTGCACTGCAGGTCGGACTCCTCAAACGTCCTCCCTTTTCTTTCACTCACACTTGATGAGTTTTCTCAGAATGAAGAATAAGAGTTTGGTTAACGTCCTGTCTGAAGGCTGGTTAATGTTCTTGTTTCAGTCCCTCCACACTTCTTTTGGGATTGTTGCGTCCTACAATGCTTCCTATAGCGCTCATTATTGCAATGTGGTTGGAAGTATTCAGGTGTCTCCATCTGGATTTTATTTAGATCAAGTTGAAACAGTAATGTCCTCAACTTGTAATTTTCCTCTCTCTCTCTCTCTCTCTCTCTCTCTCTCTCTCTCTCTCTCTCTCTCTGTGTGTGTGTGTGTGTTTGTGTTCTCCACAGATTACTCCAGCCTCCATCTGAACCAGCTGCTACAGAAAGCCGAGGCGATTGCTGGCCGGATGCTGCCGTTTACCGTCTTCTATAGAAACCAACAGCAGGAGTACTTCCAACAGGCCAGGTGTGTGTGTGTGTGTGTGTGTGTGTGTGTGTGTGTGAGAGAGAGAGAGAGCACTCACTGGCTGTATCTCTAGATGTTGATGTGTGTTTTAACTCTGTGTGTCCTGAACAGCCCTTCCTATCGCTCCAGAGATGCTCAGTGCCACCAGATGCTGCCGGCAGTCAAAGACAACAGCGGCAGCCTCGGGTCCCCCATCAGCGGCAAACTGGAGGGGGTCTTCTTCAGCTGTAACACAGAGTTCAACACAGGAAACCCCCCCCAGGACTCCCCATATGGACCCTACCGCTTCCAGGTGCGGCCTTTTGAATCTTTTCATAGACATTTGGCAGGTTAACAATAACTGTGCTGACACCAGTGCTCCATTAATCCCTCCCTCCAGATTTTCACAGCCGTTTTTTTGGGATTGCCATGCATGTTTTTAGGCATTTATTTGCAATAAAAGTACAACAATTATTAATTTTTTTTTGTGTAATTTATTCAAAAGTCATTGAAAGTTCTTAGGATGCGCAATAACATTTTTTTTTCAGGCAATAACTGATGACGACCTTCTCCTCACAGCCGATGCCGATAAAATAACCTGTAGTAACACACCTGCGGGTGAGAAAGGCTGAGATGAAGTGAGCAAAGACGGATGATTTAATATTTATAACTCTTTTTCTTCCTAAATCTGACTGACATCACTGTTGTTTACAACAACAACAAACAACATTTTTTTTTCTACTATAGTACACACCCATACTGCGCTGCATTTCTTTCTGCACAGATCCAAGCCGAGGTCCTCTTCAACCAGAACACCAACATCTACTTTGGGGATTTCTACTGCATGTACACATCCTACCACTACGTCATCCTGGTCCTGGCTCCTGGCGGCACCAAAGGAGACGTCTTCTGTAAAGGGAGGCTGCCGGCGCTGGACAGATCCAACAACTGCTTCCTGAGCTGCACCGAGGAGGACGACGGCTCGCTGTCTTTTCGTCACGCTCAGGACGTAATCTTGGAGGTGATCTACACTGAGTCGGTGGATATGTCTTTAGGGACGGTGGCACGGATCAGCGGGCAGCAGCTCGTGAGTCAGTCCACCGTCAACGCCAAGAAAGACCCCAGCTGTAAGATCTGCAACATCAGCGTGGGGCGTTAGCCAGATGTTTGGATGATCAGCTAACCTGTTAATAACTGACCTGGTGGTTATTGTAGCTACTAATGCTATTAATGAGCTACTTACTAAATTTACCACCCACTCGCTGTAGAACCACTGGCTTACTAAGTGCTAGCAGGGCCTGGGTATCTAGCAGGTATTTAACCAAATACTAAATCTACTTTTTTAATATGCGCGAGCCCCAGTGCCTGAATTGGAGCAACAAAGGTGCCAGTACCCTCAATGCAATCCCTACCCCTAACCCCAACCTCTAACCACAACTCCCAACCACTACCACTAACCACAACCCCTAACCACAACTCCCAACCACTACCACTAACCACAACCCCTAACCACAACCTCCCAACCACAACTCCCAACCACAACCCCTAACCACAACCCCTAACCACAACTCCCAACCACTACCACTACCACTAACCACAACCCCTAACCACAACCTCTAACCACAACTCCCAACCACTACCACAACCACTAACCACAACCCCTAACCACAACTCCCAACCACTACCCCTAACCACAACCTCTAACCACAACCTCTAACTGCAGTTATTTTAGTGTTTTCGGTCCATTTTAGCGAGGACATTTTCTCAACGTAAGTTCCCTCAAAGACCTGCCCTCACTCTGCCTCTGATTGGCTCTGACCCTGACTTTTTGTTTAACCCAAACCACCTCAGTCCTCACGCCTTAACTTAACCAACCAAACCAACGAAGGCAACAAGCAGAGTAGGGTGGGTGGATGTTAAAGCGTGACTGGGCTCACCAGTCAGTTAGTAGGTCCTCAGATTACTGTCATTCTTTCTAGGCTGGGTCTGTTACCAGTGTGCAACACTCTCCCTTTAGCTACCCGGACCGACGGTATTCTTTTTTTTGTGCCATTCAGTTCAGACATTCCTGAAGGAGGCCTAAGATAAATAATTTGTTTCTGTTTCCTTTTTCACTTTCTCCCAGTATCCCAGCAAAGATGTTTTTCCATATTTAGCCATTATGACTGGTGTTCTGAAATCCCTGTTTTTGACTTTCCAGTCAGAACTGGAATGAAACTAGACCTCTTCTAATATGCACCGATATGACTCTGCAAAGGCACTCATAAGTCTGCTTTCTTCAACAAGTATATCATAGTTTTGGGTTTTAGTTCAGTTATTTACTGTGTAACTTCACTTCCTGAGATTCTGTCACTCAAACCCACATCTGAACCTGTCTACCTGCCCGCCTGTCTGCCTACCTGGAAGCTACTTTCATATATTAAACCACTGACGTCATCCTTGTGCCTGCTTTGTCTGCATTTGTGTCCAGTCCTGCATTTCCTGAGCTGTGACAAAGTAGATTATTAAAGAATATAAAAGTGAAACATTTTGGGACAGGGTTAACGCTGTATTAGTTGTATTGAACAGGGGAAATGATGAGGTCATTGCTTATGAACTGTCCCGTATGGATTTCACAAAGTAGTTACTAGCCTGGTCAGCCATGATCAGTTATAATAAGTAAGAAGATAGAAGACAACAAGTACAACAAACAACCAAAAAATACAAAAGATAATAATAATAATAATAATAATTTTAATAACATATATATTTCTAATAATAATATAATAAAGAATATAATATATAATAAGAAGAACCATTATTATTATCATTATCATTATTATGATCACATCACCAAGAAGAAGAAGAACAATGATAATGATGGAAATGAGGTTTACTGAGAAAGAGAGAAATAATAATGATTGAGAATAATAAAAAATATAAAATAATCAATATATATTCTTATTGTCCTATGGGGGGTTCCTGGCAGGGCTTGGGGGCTGTCTGGTGATGTGACCATGTATGTATGTATATATTGTTCTATGTTAGCAGATGTGAAATGAGTCGATCTATTGAAATGTGTTCGGTGAATAGAGCGTGCCACTGATGTGTTTATTTCTGTCTTTTTATGTGCAGCGAGTCCTGTGGAGGTGATTGGTTAATTCTTGTCACATGACCTGTGGTAACATTTTCATCTTGTGCACATGTTTTTTTGGTCGTGCAACAGTTTTTCAGTTTTGAGCAGGTGTCCATTCAGAATAATGCATCTGCATGCACCAAAGACACAACATCTGAACGGCCCCTAATGTGACTTCACTGGCTTATATAGTGACTGTAATTAGTTACTTCAACCCCTGAAAATGAAATCAAGAAAAATGAAGGTCCAAACCCTCTCCTATCTTCCTTTTCTTTGCAACCTACCTGCCTTTAATGATTGACAGAACCAATAAAAACCCAGGTTAACGATGTAACACAGAAATATCTTCTTGTTTGGGGTAAAAAGCGTCCTTTGGTTCGTCTCTGAGATGATGAAAGCAGGATTGAACCATTGATGGAACATGTTTTTCTAAGCTGAGGTTTGAATTGAAACCGACACAAAGATGTGTTATTGAGTGGGACAGAGAACCACGACTGTTTAATATTTGAGAATCATTTATATTAATTTAACATAATACTATTTCTTCATGTTTGTCATTAATAATCATTTTTGTATTAAAGAAGACTGGAGGTTCATTTCATGTCAGTCATCTGATAGTTGGTGAGTTACAGGAAGCGTCCCAGAAACTATCTGATGAAATAAAAACCCTCCTGTATACATAGTGTGAGGTTGCCATGGTAACGGAGTATAATCTGTAGCCTGACATCAGCTCATCAGTTAGTTTGTCCTCAGGCTCTTTCCTGTCACAGAAATACCTCCCAGCTTCATTTTGTTCACATGAAAACAAACTCAGATGTGTTGAGTTCAGAAGCTTCCTTCAGGTTCTTTCGAGGTTTTAAAGGATGAAAAGTGACGTTTTGATGACGATGAGCTGAGGAAGACCATGATGAGCAGCTCAGTCTGATGGACAGTCTGTCGGTCATGTTATGAATGTGCTCAGAGCAGTTACTGCCTGCAGCTTCTGTCAGAGAGAAAACATGCAGCTGATGAGGAGATAAACAAAGATGTGACTGACAGAGGACAAATGGCTGATTGCACCAATTAATGCAAATCCAATCAATCTTTTCTCAAATGTGACCCATCCTCTTTGATAAAGCTTATAGTTAGGGCTGGATCAGGTGAGTCCTGAACCATCCCTTAGTTATGCTGCTATAGGCCTAGACTATCGGGGGATTTCCCATGGTGCACTGAGCTCCTCTCTTCCTCTCTCTTTCTGCACTCATTCATGTTCCATTAATGCATGTTACTAACTACACTTCTTCCCCGGAGTTCTTGTGCTTTCTCGTCTCGCAGGTTCTCATGGATCCTGGTGGAGCCTCCTGCCATGGTCCTGCTAGACTGCCATTGCTAATATCACTGATATTATTGTTGTTATTATTATTATTATTATTATTATTACTACAGTTACTATTATTACTATTGTCACTGCTCATTGTCCTCCATCGTTGCTGTTGTCGTCGTCATCATCATCTTCATGTTCATCATCTTCAGTCACTACTATTAGTGTAGTTGTTGCTACTGTTGTTGCTGTGCAACTGTCTGTCTGTCTCTGTCTCTCTGTCTCTCTCTCTCTCTCTCTCTCACCCCAACAGGTCGAGGCAGACGACCACCCACCTAGAGCCGGAGGATCTGTCCTAGGTTTCTGCCTTTTAACAGGCAGTTTTTCCTTGCCCTTGTCTCCAAGGTCTTGCTCATGGTGGTACTGTTGGGTCTCTGTAAATAATGTTATAAGGAGTTCGGTCTAGACCTGCTCTATTTGAAAAGTGTCCTGAGATAACTTCTGTTAGGAATTGGCCTTATACAAATAAAATTGAATTGAATTGAATTGAACAGACGACGAGTCGGACAGACGAGAGCAGACAGACGGTGGACGTGGACATGGATCAGCTGTTGGTGCTGTTGCTGTTGCTGTGGAGCTCAGGTAGGACTCGGCTTTAAAGATGATGTGTTAAATATCTGTGTTGGATGTTGGAGGAACATACGAAGGCTTCATTTACACAAACAGATATCTCCATTTTCATTGATTTGAAATCAATCCAGGGCGTATCAATCAAACTGCTGTTCATTTTAAGAATGGCTTTTATCTGTTGTTGTAAACTCTTCACACATACACACACATACATCATATTAAAGCATCAAAGGAAGAAAAACAGGAAAACGCTGTAAAATCATTCACATTGAAGTTTGAATCCTTCAGATTTTTATCAGATCAAACTCAGTTTTTGATTCTATTTGTACTCAATTATTAGTTTTTATGTAACATCTGATCAATGTATTTATATTCAGTAATTATGTCTCTGTGCCGTATTCTCCACTGTTAGCAGCGGAGTCCGCCTTTGACTCAGACTCATGACAGACTGACAGGAATCGATGCATCATGTAATCAGATTCACTGTTTCCTGTTCACTCTCCGGCAGCTGTATCAGATCATTTCCTGCTGCTGCTCCTTCACAATAAAACACTTCAACTGGACAAACACAGGGAGGCTTTTATTGTGAAGCAGTCACAGGAAACACACTGTATTTTTTAGAGTCACTTTTCCTCCGTCGAAGCTTTCTGACTCCACAGGGGTCGAAGGTCAACGTCACTAAATCATCAGAACTAATAAATAACAGGCAACTATCCAGTGAACTCTTCCAGCCTCAAACACCATGAAGGACAGACAAACTGCTCACATGTGGTTTAGATCACCATGGCAACACACTGCTCAGAAACATCAGATATTGATCTGTTGATTGGTGGCCAGATAGAGCGATCGGTTCGTGTTTGCACTTAAAAGTGGGCGGGACAGTTTATCAATGTTTTACAGTAATACACTTCAGAGGAGATAACTGCAGGCCGCACACTGTCACCATCATCTTTAATGGACTGAAACTTTATTTAACAGAGGGAACACAGCCATCAGTTTAAAACCGGTTTAATACCAGTTTGAGACCAGTTTAAAACCAGTTAAAAAAGTATTTAAAAGCAATTTAAAGCCAGTTTAAAACCAGTTAAGGACCAGGTTAAAACCAGTTTAAAACCAGCGTGGGATGATGGGAGTTGTGTCTTCATTGTTAAACAGCTACTGCTGATGAAACTCAGTCTGAAGTGACTCAGGCACAAATTGTTGAGGGACGAGGTAATGTATTAAACTTGTGTTACATTTAGTCAGATAAGATCAAATTCATGACTAATAAATAATTTAAAGTCAGTTAATAAATGTGACTGAGTGAGATATTACAGAACGCTGTGTAGACAAAATAATAAATTCATGTCCAACAATAATAACAGTGAAATCTGTAAAGAACCTAAAGAAGCAAAGTTTGAAGGTTTCAGGTCTATGTTTTATTTCATGTCTGTACGTGTTTTAACCTGGGGCCCTAAAGGGGTTATCGGTATCCTTCTATAAATGTAATAATAATATGAATGAATTAGCCAAAGGTAACAGGAACCTTCCAGGTGAACAATAGGATCTTGTCTGCTGCTGTTAATGTGATTTAAATAAATGTTTGCAGTGTTGTGTGATAGGAAGTGCAGAGAGGTCAGCCAGGAGTGAGATGGTTGGACAGACGGGAGCTGAGGCCGAGGAATCATCCGTCTGCTGACTTGTGTTCTGTGTATTCACATGTTCATCTCACCTGTAGTCAACTGGCAAACGATGTTTATTTCCTGGTTTTCTCCTCAGGACTGCAGACTGAAGGAAAACACAACTCAACAGGTAAATACACAAAGAACAGAGACACAAAGAATCAAGTTTTAATTTCAGATTTTCTTAATTAAAGTCACATTTTTTACTGATGACTCTGTCAGGTTGGTGGGAGGAGACAGTCGCTGTGCAGGAACACTGGAGGTGGAACATCAGAATGAATGGAGACCAGTGATTGGCTCTTACTGGACCCTGAAGGAAGCAGCTGTTGTCTGCAGAGAACTGGACTGTGGTTCTGCTGTTTCTGTAGGAGAGAGAAAGGAGTCCTCAGACAGATCTGTGTTGAAGATTGAACCTGACTGTGTTCACTCTGGATCTGCTTTGAGGGAGTGTGTAAGATCAAATTCCTCTCCCTACACCCTGCATCTCATCTGTTCAGGTAATCATCATCAGTTACATAATTTATGACAGTAATGTACCAATGTTGACACACACACACACACACACACACACACACACACACACACACACACACACACACACATACCTGTAGAGATGCCAGTTTACCTCCTGGGCTCTGCCGAGGTCTCTTGAGCAAGGCACTGAAGCCCTAACTGCTTGGAGCAGCGACTGTGTGGCAGCCTCATCACTCTGACATCTGTCCACTAATGCATGTGTCCAGGTCCTGTGTGTGCATCAGTGGCTGCTGACTCAAACATTGTGGAGGACAGGAGGAAAACCAACCCACAGCTTCATGTTATTTTACACTAGTTGGCTAATGATCTTTACTTTCTTCTGTTCAATATCAATGAAACAGTAAATCAATGGCTTCCAAGAGTTCTTAAAAACAACATCATTGTATTCACTGCTGTTGTTTCCAGATGAACCCTACAGGCCTAATGCAGAAGATAGAGTTTTTATCAAGGCTGTGAGATGTAACAAGAAGCAGCCAGTGTTCAACACCTGTGAATGTGTGCTGACTGATGATGACTACTTGCTGCTTGAATCAAAGCTGGCCCCATTTCCAATCAGACAAACAAAGCTTACTGTACTTTAATTCCAATATTTTATTCCCAACGATGCATTATCACAAGTCCAGGTTCACCAGGGCATTTTAAAGTAGTGTGTGCTTTCTATTCAGAGACAGCTGACAGTTATCCTCAACAAAGTAGTTTAAACACAGCAGCTCTATTTCTCTGCTACAAAGGAAATATGACAGTAATGATCCCAGCACCATTGGTAAACACCCACCGTCTGCTGTCTCTCACTGTCTGAGGTAAGCTGAAGCAGAGAAACTGTCTCACTGACTGTTTACATGCAGCTTTGGAAAAGATGATCAGCTGACAACAGGAGCCACGCAAGTTGTTTTCTGAGTGACACTGATTGAGCCATATTTCAAAGTAAAACTTTTGATAGCCCATTAGCTACCGTTAGACGACGGCTAACGTTCCTAGATAACATTACAGAACACGATGATAACACAAAGAGGAATATGAAATATTGTTCCAGTGAGCATAATGTCACATAAGTGTTAACGTACGTAAACGTTAACATTAACTTTACTGAGTCAACCAGAACATTTCTGACACTGGGTGAAGAGAGACAGTTAACGTTACATTGCAACCTTGATTACGTCCAGTGTATTTTATGGGTTAGCTAATATGTTTTCCTTAAAATATGACCCGATGTGCGTCCAGATTTGAACTATACATTGTGTTTTCAGTTGCTGATCAATTAGTAAAGAAATAATGAAATGATAACGATTTGTCGGATTCCCTACGTTTATCCGACCTCCAACCTGGAACACAGCAGTACGACATTTGAACCACCCTGTGTGAGACGTCAGAGGAAAGTGGCCGCTGTGTGAATATGGTGAGTTAGAAACACCTTCTGACGCATCCGTTCTCAAAAGTTCCACTGCCACCACATCTGCCCTATCAGCCCCTAGCCCCAAACTCCCCATTTTATAGTGTAGTTCCTCACAGTGGCAAGAAAGGTGGTGTGCTCAGATACCTCACTCAGTGCTCAGAGAACCAGGGTTATCCTGGAGACCAAATGTCTCACTATGGGAGGTATGGTCCACTCCCAAAGTGCAGGAGGACCGACACCCCCAACACTGCAGGCAGGATGTGTGTTCAGATAACAGGTAGTTCACAGATTCTGAGAGAAAACACCTTGTGATGTGATGACTGTCCATGTGTTTGATCAGATCCATTACTTCATCATCACTTCATCAGAGTGGTCGTCCTGCTGCTGACTCTGCTGGTGGTGACCACCGCCCTCTATTTCTACTGTAAGGTACTGACACTGTCTGTTGTTTAGAGGACTGACTGAAATGAAGCACTCAGTCTGTGTTTATTAAACTGAACTGAGGACTCATACTGTCCTGTCTCTCTCAGGGGCCAGAAGCCGGGCAGACAGGAGAACATTGAGTTGGATGATTATAACCTGGGTGTTCCTGCAGCTGGAGGAGGTCCGACTGAAGAGGAAGGAGCTCAGGGAGCAGAGTAGGACCTCCAAGGAGATCCTCTCACATCCACATGGATTCACAGCTGACACACAGCCATCAGCTAAGTCCAGGATTTTATATTTTTATCCTCATGTTTGCTGAAATTATTATATGACTTTATATTTTTATTACTCTGAGCATGAAAAGACCAAAAACAACAACATGTTGTCTGTCTCTCAATACTTTGACTTCCTGTCTGTGGCTCTCAGCTCCAACCCTGTTTGTTCCTCCTGAAGACGTACATTTTTAAAAACCTCACAAATATAAATGTCATTAGAAAATTAAAACTGCAAGCAGTGATGATCGGGCCCTTGCACTCCACGCAAGGGAGAATCTGTACTGTAGTTAGGTTTAGCAGTAGGGTTACGGTTTCCATGTCATATCAAAGCTGATTTTTTAAGGCACGCCACAGACACACGGTTTGACCGAACGTACAGATATTAATAACGTAACCTCCTAAACCGCTCTCTCATGTCGGTCGTACGTGTCTTGCGCGCTGATTTGGGTGGGTGGGGCTTAGCCATTTGCCGGTGCCCATGCACTAAATGCACAAATGGATACGTCGAGTTTAACCATGTTTGATTTTTTTTTTTAGTGCTTGAGCGAGGGAAAGTGTTCAAATATGCAATTAAAGGCGCAGAAAAAAATAAATAAAATTCCTACAATTATAATAGGTCCTTGCACTGGTCAGTGCTCGGGCCCTAACTAGACTTGAATGCGGGAATACTGAGGTCCAAACGCCCCAGTTCAAAAGCAAAGACACACTGACCCAGACTGGTTTGTCATTTTGGAACAATGTTGGCCAAGTAATGTTAAATATTCAATGAAAATAAAAGTGAAACAACGTCATGTATCTAAATCTGTTGTTACACCAGTTGTAACCATCTAATTTGATGACGTTTGAACAATTCATACTTTGCAGTCATGTGATTGCCATGGTTACCTGGTGGTAGGGTGGCCATTTCCTTCACATCAAAAAGGAGGACACTTTACATACACGGGGACACGCAAGCAGATATTTGTTTGGTATGATCCGGTTTTAAATGTTAATGTTTTTCCACCAGATTACATAAAGGTGCATACACATACCACATAGCTAATAATAAATATACAAGATACAGCTCATGACAACGTGCCCTTCCAATTCAGATTACATAGGTCTAATAAACATCATACAGAAACTGTTCTTAATGTTTTTATCTGGATTGATAAAGGGCTTTGCCTATACATATGAGTATGAGCATTTTCAGTATTTCAGTCCAACAACCGACGTTAGCTCACGTTACTTCGCTGTCCCTAAGAGTTTGATTGACAGCCTGGTGGTAACTTAGCAACTGCAGTGAGCCCTGTTGTGGCAATCAACACATGGCTCATTTGAATATTTAAATGAGCCATGTGTTGATAGGTCACTACGAAAATGTAACCAATGAAATTATTTATTTTGACACACATTTTTAGCCAATAAGTATTAAACTAACGAGGTAATGTGTCAAAAGGCCACATTTTTAGTTATTTTCTCAAGAGGAGGACAGATGAGTGTCTGCTTGAGGACAGGGGGTTTAAAAACCGGACTGTCCGACCTAAAGCCGGACGAATGGCCACCCTACCTGGCGGGCAAGAAACATATATATTTACATATATCCGTCACCTTACACAAAAAATGAAAGCCTACTAAAGTACGGATAGTTATCTTGTTTCAAGAGTGGATGGGTTAACAATGCTGTCGTATGGGAGGTGAAAACCAGGAATATCTTCATAATCAAAGCTAACGTGAGTGTTACTAGTTGTTACCTGCTAATGTTTGTATGTCTGTAGCTATACACAAAGTGACATCTGTTCCGTCTGTGATGAAGTCTTCATCTGAATATGGACACCCTGTCTGCCGACGAATGACAGCTTGATAAGTAACATTAGTTTAAAAATTTGGTTCACAACAGGTAGCCAACACATACACATTCGCACAAAAAACATAAAAACATGAGATGATAAATAAATAAAAACATAAATACGCATGTACACTATATATAAATAATAATTTTTTAAAAAGTGAAAAACTTTGCTGTGACATGGGCAGGGATGGAAGATTACCTTTAGTTTGTTGAGAAACCCAACAGCTGATGGTACAAATGATCTCAGGTATCTGTTAGACCTGACACGTTTTCCTCTGTACTGTAGCTGTACTGTCCTAGCTACTTAGTATTATTGTGAAATAGATTTTTATTAGAGATAATTTGTGTCAAATTATTGGTCTTCACTGAAACTTATGAAATAAAGTTAATATTACCATCTTATGAATGATATATAATAACAATATGTTATTAATAATATAAATATTGTTACTATTATAAGAATCAAATAGTATAGATCTCTGACCTGTGTCTACAGCACTGACTGATCACAATTGTATTTGCGTTTCCAAAGCAAGACAAATTAATCTCCAAAAAGGCTGATGGACTGGACCAGCATTGACCATGTATGGGAAGCTGTGAAGTGGATCTGAAAAATATGTGCAGCAATCCAGAGGGCCGGAAAGAGGCTACAGATAACTACAGTGTCATAAATAAACATTAAGAGTTGGTTTGACATCATACTAGAGTCTTCCAAAGCAAGACAATTAAATCTAAAACAAAGCTTGATGTATTTCCAAATTCAAACTGGACCAGCAGTGAGCATGTACAGGAACTGATGCATAAGTTCCTGTACATGCTCACTGTTGGTCTAGAGTGCCCCGAGATTTTTACAGAATCCATTTGTCTCAATGTTAATTAATATTATATACCTGGGTTGGGCTTATCAACAGCATACTAATAGCAAAATCAGCAATGGGCCTATTTGTATGGTGGCCCTTACAGCTCAATGCAGTGCAATTTTAGCTTTTTGCTTTTCTTAGGTGGCAGCCTGTTGAGCTCTTGGTGTCACCATGTATGGGGGCTTTCTGTGGGCTAATCCAAATGAAAGACAACAAAAGTAAAAATGTGTAATGATCTAAAATGTATTCATTTGAATTAACTAAAGAATAATACAGAATACAGATTTTTTTTGTTTCTTTATTTAGGGTTTAGATTATGTATCATGAAACATGACAATTTATCAATGCAGTTTCCTTTTATGATATGAAACCCTCCAAATACCCACAATTCTCTGTTCATCACAGATTAGTATTGATTCAGTTTCACATTTCTACTTTCCAGGTCAATTATGGAGGCAAAGAGAGTGCAAAACATCTCCACACAAATAGCGTCTGGATATTTATTCTTTTTACTGGTATAAAAATAAGTTCTAAGTGCTTCCCACACTTTAATACTGTCTCTGCTTTGGCATGTTCACAGCTCAGATGTCAGCATGTGTCATCAATTGTAAAACTCTCCAGGAACAAACAAATAGAAGAAACAAATATCAAATTGAACTGAATGATCTGTGCTGCTGATGAGACGTCTGCGTAGTCCTACTTGTGCACAACACAACTCGTACTCACAGTCACCACAAAGACGTGCATTTTCTCACTAAAAAAACAATCATGTTCCAATCTTATCATTTTGAATTTCAAATGAAATTTTAAAGAGTTGTCACAATGACGAAGTTTTCATTCAGGTCAAATTCACAAAATGCTCCATCTTATTTGTAACCATCATTAAGAGACCCAGACGTCAAAGGTCTTTCCTAATTGGGAGCTAGTTGGTTCAAGCTTATGTTAGCCCAAGTCACAGTTTGTTTTACAGTAAGAAAAATTATTGGATTTTTTTCATACAAGTGGAACAAACAGCACGCAATGTGAACATGAAAATACTGAAACATGGTAAAGAAATATCACTCAAAGGGGAAAGTCCGCACCCGACCGTGGAGACCTGAAGCATTTCGACAGCCAATGTTTCTGTTGCGGTTCTGAGGTTTACATTCAGGTGTTGTTTTAATATGTTGATCAGATTTAATCAAATTAGCAGTAGAACAGAATTACAGGTAGTCGTAATAAAGTGTTTAAAAAAGTTGACTGAGATAGAAAGCTTTGTCTTTTTGTATACGTAAAACACATCAGATATTTTAGTCCAACAATTGGTCTCATATGTTAACAGTTTATGACACAATGGTAATTAAATTCCTTTTCGGATGCGCACACTCTAAAAACCAATGAGCTCTGGTTCTTGAACTGGTTCTGTTCAATATTCTTGGAACCTTGGTGCTGGTGCCTGCATTTCCACTGGTTTTGAATGGAACCATTATAATTAACAATCAATTGTCAACAAAGGGCACTGCACAGTGCACGATGACCTGTAGAATATGACACACTCACTTTGGTTCCCAAGGAAAACCTGCTGTTTTTTTTCAGTTGGGAACCAAGTTTTCCAGGTCCGAAAGGTTCCAAACTAGCTGCACGAACCAAAACGTTGGTGGAAAAGGCCTAATATTCACAGTTTAAAGAACTGAAAGTCCAGAATACCTCAGCGATCTACAACAGGTGTCCCATTTTAAAACCCTAGACTCTGTTCAAATATCGTCAGATTTTTGTCTGTTATCTTATTTTCCATCCGTTTGAGCCTCCCAGGAAAACCGCTGAAATTTTCAAAACGGTGTAAAACAAAGTTTTGCAGTTGGAAGTGTAAGACATCCAAAAGAACAACAAATGGCAGCTTTTAGAGATAATAACGCAGTTACAAAAAAGCATAAAATAACAAAATCTATTGAGCCGATTCAGTTTTTGAATATTGTAAACATACTACTAGAAGCAGGCAAACAAACTAAAAAAGAAAAAACATTAATTAAAACTTTCAAACTGCCAATCAAAGGCTAGCTTCTAAATTACTTAAAAAATAATCACAGATATGTATGGACACATAATTCAAATAAAGGCGGAATAGCAAAGAGACAATAACAAGACTGAAAATGATGTGACTGGTGATGAAATTGTTTTAGGGTTACAATTTTCAAAATGTGACAGGACAAAATTCCACAGTTGGACAGCAGCCACCATGCAACCAGCAGCATAACGGTGCATTCACACCATTCTGCTTTTGTTGTCGTACAAATAACCCCGCAAGTTCACGCTGTGATCAACAATGAGTAAAAAAACGAAAACATTTTAACTGATTTAAAATGTAAAATGCAACCAAAAAAGCAGTATAGTGTGAATGCATCCTCAGCTACGATATTTTTCCTTGTTGGAAACCACTCTTCTAGAAAACGCCGTATCCGTCGGTGTGACGTGTCGCGACAGCAAAGGCAGGGTAGCCCTCGTAGGTGGTGTAGGTGGTCAGATCCTGACCCAGAGACACAGCCTGCTTCAGCTGGGAGGCGACCGCAGACGCCGCCGGGCTCGCCAGAGTGTAACCTGAGAGAGACAAATACTCACAAAGTTTTAGCAATGAGTCTCTCACTTTACAATCAGCTGTTAGGTTCGGAGTCCTATATGTTAGTTGGTTATTGATTAGTAATCTATTTTGTGTGTTATGTGTTTTAAGCAATGCTCATAACCAATTCAGTAATAAATACTTTTGCATATAAAATTTTGTTTTTGGCTCCGAAACAAACTGATAGACCTACCTTGCTCTCACTCCCAACTGGGTAAATACTTCAATACGGCAGATTGGTAATAAAGTCATTGACAAATAAAGAACCACATTGTTTATGATCAATTGCTGTTCATCTTTCATTGATTTAAATTTTTTTCCATGAAAATCAACATGGCTAAATAGAACCTTTCACATCACAAGTTTCTCCAACACGCATTGAAGGCTGAATGGTATTCAAAAAGTTGCAATCTGCAACTACACAACTAGATGTCACTAAATCCTACACACTGTACCTTTAAAATTGCTTGGAAAGAGAAAAACCAATCTGATCAACCTAATGGATGATTCGAAAACTGGAATCAGGAATGTGGAATACCGTGCTGTTAATGGGCTTAAGCGTTCAAACCCACCAGTGTGGAGCTTTAATTCTCTTTTATAAGTGGAGGTAATTTTTTGTTTAACATAATTTGAAGCCATGTTGTCTTTATCTTTCTGCGAGCTGAAAGACTGTTAGTGGTTTGTTGAGTGAAGAGTTAGTTGGCTTTGGGTACGGACCTTCACATACCTGGAAAGGCTACTGAGGCCACAGCGGCAGCAGTAGCACAGCTGGCGTCAGCGGCGCCCTCTGTCTGCAGGCCGAGCGTCTGCAAGGTGTGCTCAGCTGCATGGACTTTAGCTTCTTCTACAGCCGCACAGAGCTTAGCAGGGGTGAAGGGATGGCTGTAGAGAGAGAGTATAATTGGAAGTCTAATGTAGCTGGATAATGCATGACAATTTAATTTCTTATATCAATAGAAATTTATCATTTTACGACTTATGTAGAAAATCACTGTAAACAGCAGTTTGATACTTAATTACTAGCAGCAGTAGTAATAGTCATAGTACCAGCAGTAGTAGTAGGAGTAGTACCATTAAGAGTAGAAGGAGCAAGAGTCGTAGTAGTAGGAGCTGTAGTGGGAGCAGTAATAGTTGCTGAAGTAGTAGAAGTAGTAGACCTAGTAGTAGTAGTTGGAGTAGGAGTAATAGTAGTTCCAGTGAGTGGCGTGAGCAGTAACAGTAGGAGTAGCACTAGAAATAGAATAGTAGAATAGTACTACTATTTCTAGTCATAACAGCAGTGGCAGATGCAGCAGCAGTAGTAACATTCTGAGTGCACGTATTAGTAGTAATAGTTATAGTAGCAGTAGGAGTAGTAGTAGTAGTAGTAACAGTATTAACTGCAGTAGCTGCAGAACTCTTACACGTTGGGGTACTGTGTAGCCAAAGCTGGTATGGTGATCTTGTAGAGAAACAGTTGTCTCTGGTCTGGGCCAATAGCAGAGTGGAGCTGATAGACAGGCTGACCCCAGTTATTCTTCTGACACAACTCGTCCAGAACCTGACAGACATAGTAAGTAGAAATATATATAGTAGTTGGACACCAAGGTTTTCATTTCGGCCAGTTTGGTTTAATGGGTTCATTCTTTTGGGAAAAAAGGAACAAATAGTTAAACCTTTGGATTTAACAGCCAAAGTCTGTCCAACTTCTTTTTAGTGATATTGGCATACATTGTCCACCACTTATTCCGGCTTGGGTGGCATTGGCAGCTAGCTAATGTAGGCTAAAATAGTCCATACATGCTTCTCCACAGCCATGTCTTCCTCACCCAGTCTATAAGGCAGAAACCTTGCCATGGGAACATATTTTGGACACTTGTATCCATGATCTTACCAAAAGCTTAGACCATCAGTGATAGATCAGCCAGTAAACCTCTTCACCATGACAATCTGGTACTGTTTCTGCATTACTGCTGACGCTGCACCGATCCATCTATAGGGATGGGTTCTGATAGCAGGTTCCATTTTAGATCTAGCTTCAAGTTTGTAAAATACCCAGATTTGTTTAACTCTACAGCCAACAAATACCTTATTGAATCATATTTAGGGATTTGTATGGGGTCACGCCTTAAACGATAAATCCAGTCTGATGGGTGAACAAAGAGAAGTTTTGGCTTCTCTTTTTTCCAACCTGTCTGATTGTCTGATTGTTCATAATTCTTGAGTCTTTCAGACTTTGTTTTAGTGATTTCACAATCCAATCCATGGACATGTTGTGTCACCTCTACTTGAAAGAAGCCTAGCCATGTCAAACTCAAAGGAAACTGACTAACAGTGAGGAATCATCAGCTCATTTGGATCACGTGTGCTTAGTCCTGCCCTTCTTTCAGCTCACATCTATCCTGCATCCTCATTTTCTGTTGCACCTTCAACACCTCAATATCACCTACACCACATACATTCATACATTATAACTCATGTCATACAAGTAGCAAATGGCTCTTAGTAATCACTCCGATAATCAAAAGTACTTCCCAGAAGATACCTTGGGAGACACGGTCATAGATCTTTTCTAAACCCAAAAAACACTTGAGTAGGGGTCACAGAAACAAGGACTTGGAGTGGTCATTGAGAACTCTTGTTGACCCCTTCAAATTCTTGATTCCATCCTTGTCATCGAACTGTGGACTGGTCCTAGACCTAGTCATTTAGTGAGTATGATGTTAATTAATAAAAATGGGGGACAAAACTACAAAAGACCGAAGTTGTAATCAACAAGTATTAACCCTGCTGGTTCTCATGCATGGTGTGTTACCTGTGGTGCAGGTTTGATGGTGGCGGCCTTCAGACTCATTGCAGCAGGGTTCATGGGGGTCAGTTCCATGCCTGGCAGCAGGTCATACAGCTTCTCCTCTGCCTGCTTGTCCGCCTTCAGGCCGTAGGCAGCACTGCCGCTGCCGCCTCGACCCATGGCTCCAACCCCGGTAGCATAGGCCAGGTAGCCCCGCCCACCCAGCCCCCGCACCCCGGCAGCCCCTACAGGTACAGTCATGTAAATTTCTACAGGAGACCGAAAAGGCAGTGAAATCAATCAAATCACCGGAAATCAACCGGGAAGAAGAATCACACAGAGAAAATTATTCAGTCAGACTGAACATGTACAGTGGTAGCCATGGTAACTCCACCTTACATCTACCCAGTGTTAGCACTACAGCGGTAGTCATAGTAACAGTGCATCTGTCTATAATTCACAGAGGATTATCTCTCTGGATGATTCATTTTCCAGTTTTTCATTTTTTCCTCCATGTTTACAAGATCTTATGTTTAATTAACATAATAAAGTTCCACTTTTGATTCAGTGGATCATATTTGATTCCTGTTAACAACAATATTCAGGCATACAAATCATTTTGAAACAACATTCTTTATATATGGGTGATCTTGATTCGATACAGTTCAGTTATTTTCAGTTACAGACTTTTTTTTGAAGCAGTATAAGCGGATCATAAAATATTACTGGTGAATTGACTGTTCCAAAAGCCCCACCCCTCTTTTGTATATAAAGATATTTATTTAATTAGAGTTGGAGTCATTTTGTTGTGACCCCTAGCTACGTAGCTTACATACTTATTTGTGTTTTCAAACAGCCTGTTTTAACTTTACATGAGAAGTGGTTTTGAGGATGAAGACTAAGTGCTGTTTACGTAGACTTGAGTACTGCTGGCCGGGGTAAACTTCCCCATGTCCAATAAAGATCATTACAGAGCTGCTAATGTTAGCTTAAAACCCCAGGAAGAGCTTCCTCACAGTGGGGAAAACACTACTACACAGTGGATGTGCTGTTGTTTGGTTTGTGGTTTAGTGAACAGTCAATTCACCAAGAAAAATCTCTTTGATCAGAAACGTCAATGCTGTGCAGTGAAAACCTTTTTCTTTTTAATTTAATTGGGAATTGAACTGTACGTAATATCTTAAAACACAAGGTTTCTTATGTTTAAGCTCAGGAGGAAAGCAAACTGCGTCCGTCCTCACCTCTAACAGACGGCGTTCTGATCAGACCTCGACCTCCAACGTGAGTTTTGGCCGGTGGGAAGCGGAACTGACCTGGTATGGCAGTGTAGGCCTGGGGGGCGTAAAACACAGGCGGACCGAGATACGCCGCTGAGGGGTCGTACACCTGGAAGAGGAGGAGGAAAGAGTGCTTACTTTTATATCTCATATAAATTATTTTTAATAGGAATATCTTAAATATCTTAAAGAAAGACAAGTCAAAGGTTTTGATTATCCGGTGAAATATATAACAATAATAGATATTGCCATTTTGTAAAGACAGTTATGTTGTTGCTGTGCGTCTGTCTGTCTGTCTGTCTGTCTCTCTCTCTCTCTCTCTCTCTGTCTCTCTCTCTGTCTCTCTCTCTCTCTCACCCCAACTGGTCGAGACAGACGACCACCCACCTAGAGCCGGAGGATCTGTCCTAGGTTTCTGCCTTTTAACAGGCAGTGTTTCCTTGCCCTTGTCTCCAAGGTCTTGCTCATGGTGGTACTGTTGGGTCTCTGTAAATAATGTTTTAAAGAGTTCGGTCTAGACCTGCTCTATTTGAAAAGTGTCCTGAGATAACTTCTGTTAAGAATTACAAATACAAATAAAATTGAATTGAATTTAATTGAATGTTCCTCAGGGGATAAACCACCTGACTTTGGTGATGCCGATTGAGTTGTTTTCTTACAATATCCCAAATGTTGCCAACAATGTTCAAACTCAGAGAAATCTGTCATTTAATTTAGGTAATCGGACGTCTGGATCTTAAGTTATCAGAGAAACAAACTGAGCTAACGTTAGCATTACTCGGTTCACAGCCCCTCCGGGACGTCCTTTGTCTGTCCAACAGCGTGGGAGAAGCAGTGATTGTTAAGGTGGAACTGCTTTATTCAGTGTGTTTAAGGTGGAACTGCTTTATTCAGTGTGTTTAGTGGTTTTAATCAGCGGGTCTGTTTGTGTTGGAGAGGAGGAGACCTCTGTGGATCATTGGGCTCCCGGTAGAAACCTCCTGAACCATGAACACTGAAGGAATCCTAACCGGGAGAAGCTGACTGCAATGACGCCAATGGTGGTGAAAACAACAACTCCCATGATCCCACACTGCTGTATTTTTTACTCTTTGTCTCTGTTGGATTGTCAGTAATCTTTTTTTTTTCCGTTTCTTTCTGTGCCATTTACGTCAGTTACCTTCCTTCACAGTGTAATAATTGAAACTGTCCACTAGATGGAGCTGTTTACCATGGTGACTTTATCTGTACATCCATCACATCTCCTATTGTGTCTTTGTGGACGTTAACCTTCTGTCTACAGCTGCGTAGTTCATGGTATGATAAAGTTTTGGGTAACAATTAATTTTAAAGGTCCACAAATTTTATGGTAATTAGGTATTGTTACTTTCTTTGAATTTACCCCAATGTATAGAAAACTACCCCAATATTATTTACTTATTTTGTAAGGCTATTTTCCAGTTAACAGGTCCACCATAATAGTAATAATAATAATAATAATAATAATAATACGAGCAGTTTCTATAGGTTTCTTGCAACAGTCACTGCTCGGGCCCTAGTTATTCCCTTAAATCTATGGGGCTATATGGCTGGTACAAGTGGGGCACAGACCTATGCAGGGGTGGCATGAAGTATGTGTCTCAGCTTTCCAGTCATTACCATTATTTTTATACCAACACCCTTTATTGACCCCAGTCTGCAGAAATATTCAAATACACTAAAACAACACCTTTATACCACATGCATGTCATGAGCATAAAGTGTCTGCAGAGGGGAGATTGTGGACGACACTCATGGACAACATCTTTTCTTCCACCTAAACAAGCAAATATTTTGGGATGACTGCCTCCTGCAGCACTTGTACCTGTCCCAGAGTGTAGGCAGCATAGTCGGTCTGCAGCAGGGAACCTCCCCGTCCTCCCGTCCCCCTGGTGTAACGGACGTAACTGTCTTTGTCCACCGGCTTGGCTAGAGTCACCTCGATAGGAGAGCCATCCACCACCTGGAGGGAGGATGAAGGGGACAATACTCACGTCATCATTATTCAGATCCTTTTCATCAGTACAAGTGCTACTAACACACCTTAAAAATTCTCCACTGTCAGTGTTTTTCTATTATATCTGATGTTTTTGGATTAATAGAACTGCTGCATTAACGTGTATGTCAGTCCTTCCAGAAAAATGCGAGTTTTTTTGTGATTGTTGCGGGCAAAAATCCTTGATTATGCGGCAAGTTTTCTTAAAAAATGCGATGGAATATGCGGCAACTTGCAAAAATTGCAGGAACTTGCAAAAACTGCGGCTTCATCACAGGCTTTGCAGCTTTTCGATGATGTTCACGTCGCGTAATTACGTCACTTCATAACGTTCCCATGGCAACGGGGGAAAATGGCTGCTCTTGTGTGAAGTAAACGCAACATTTTTCAACTTTCTGTTAAGATATATGTGACTTTTTTGCAACGAAAATGCAGGGATTATGAAATCATGCAAGCCCCGCATATTTTGCGCGGAAATCGGCAATTTATGCAGTCGCATAATCGTGTTTTTCTGGAGGGACTGGTATGTTGCATTTTACTGCTGGAAAGGTTTCTGCTTGAGCTCATTTAATTTGGGATCACAGGGAGAACTTCAAGCTGCCAACCTTTCCATTGAGTGCGTTCATGGCGTTGATGGCATCCTCTCTCTGAGTGAAGTGGACGAAGGCGTAGTCTCTGATCTTCTTCACTCGCTCCACTGCGCCTGTTACACAATTAACTCTTTTGTAAAATCAAGCTCGGTTCTTTATTCAGCTTTCTGGAGCCACAAAGTTCAGACCATTATGTCAAATCTGCACACATATAAAAGCAGATAATAGAAATAAAAAAGATGTGACATAAGACTCAGAGCACCTTCAATAATGCAATAATATGTGCTTTGATCCAGTGTAAATGTTATTTAATCTGATATTTAACATGTCAAATGAATGTTCAACTTACTTTGGGGATGGAAGGCGCCAATATCATATTTTTACATATAGACTCACACATCTGATTAATATTTATGTAATTTACTGAAAGGCGGGGACATTTTCTGAACAGAGTTACAAAGGCCTACTGGGAGTTGGTTTGAAAGTTTGAAATAAGAGAGGGTTGTATTAGTTAGACCCCCCAGGATTACACAGGCTCTCTGTGGAATTTTTGGGGCCTAAAACATCAGATTTCATGACAGCTTTTTAAAAAAATTGTGATGGACCTAGCTCTTACCAAAAGTCGCACACTGTCCTTCGCTTCTCTTTTGGCAAGGCAAGCAATACTACTAAGATGGAGGGATGCTGCTCTGACCACACGCGCTCAGTGGCTTAGGGACATCATGTCCTGTCTAGACCTTGAAAAGATCCGCTACTCAGTTTGTAATTCAGGTGGGAAGTTTCAGAGGGTGTGGGGACCCTTTCTGAAATATTTTGAGAGTCTTCAGTCAAACTGAAGGATTTTTCTTTCCTCTGTTTCGCTTCTTTGCTTGTCTTTCTCTCAGTTACATAGTCTGTATCAGTCAATGTCTAAATTCGACTTCTTCTACTCATCTATCTTTATTTGCTTATCTATTCATTCAGTGGTTTTTTTATTAATATATTTAAAATTTTTTGTATTTACTTATCTTGCAATTTAATACTTGATATCCAGCAGTTTCCTACAATACTCCAGGAACAATACTCCGTACGAAATATGGTTTGTAGATGTGGCTAGTGGGAGGGGAGGGGGGTTTATGTTTTAACACTTTGGAAAAAAAAAAAGTACATTGTATGAACATTTCTGTATTTGTGATTAAACTTCAATAAAAATATCTGATAGAAAAAACAATTGTGATGCAACAATGTGAGAGAAATTGCAAAAAAAATAGCTGCAATTATTATGATTTTTTGTATAATTCATTTAAAAAAACTGGTTCAGGTGGGAATAAAATTGCACTGTTTGGTGGAAACTAGTTTACAGCTCAGCATTTTGTACAGGAAACTACAATGATTGGTCAAATTTGAAAAAAAGTTGCTTGAATCTGCAACTTCCAGGAGGGCCTGTCGGCTGAAACAATAAGAATACAAAGCTAATGAACAAAACACATTGATCAAACTAGTCTGTGGATGACTTTACAGTTGTTTGACAAAAAAATTCAATATGGTTTTCCCCATATTACATTTCTTATCAACTGAAACTGAAAATGTCTGTTCCATCAACTGACACCTCAGCATAATGCCTAACATACCTCCTGTAAATATTGTAAAATTTGACTTATATAATGAGTAATAATCCCAAACATTGAATTGTGAATCTATTTGTGAAAACAGCATTTTGTTTGTTGATATTTGGTCATCATCAGCAAACAAAATGGAAACAATCATTCATATAAATAACAAATATTAAGGGTCCTAAAATGGATCCTTGTGGCACACCACACGCTATATATATTTGTTATTAAATATTGCTCTATACATCCAAAGTCATTAAAACCCTTAAAAGTCTACATGCAGAGAACCTTGCTGCAGATCAATAATCCATCACCTGTCCGTGTTGGTGCATTCAGGGACACACAACAAACTTTGAGAGTTGACTGCTGCATTGTGTCATCTTACTACCTGGTCTGAGGCTGTTAAACTCCTTCTCAATGGTCTCCTCTGTGGTCTGCAGCATCAGGTTTCTGACGTACAGTATCTTGACGCTTGCCATGGTGTCCTCATCCACCTCCACCTCAGGCTCTGCCCAGTCCACGGCGATGGCGTGGCCCCACAGCTGAATGCGACCTGAGAGAGAGAACAGGTAGGTTTCATCCATTGACAGTATATATAATGGACAACCTGCATTCTATGTAAAGTCCAGCAGGGGAGATCCATTGGCTGCAATAAAAGACCAATGCCTTTCACTCTAATGGAGAATGAGCCCACTTCTCATTTCATTTTTTAGCTCAGTAAACAGTTTCATAACAAGTTTATGGTCTCAATCGCTTGTACGCTCAACTCACAGTACGTCACCTCCGTTGGCTCCGACTAACTGTCATGGCAGCGCCCAAAATGCCAAACTCAAGGCTTCAAAACAGCTCTCCACAAACCAATGGGTGATGTCATGATAAGTTCACACTTGGTTTAATCCTGTTGTGTGACTTGTGATGTTGCCTTCAAGTGCCGCTGGAAATAATAGGAAATGCGAAACTGGTGTAGATGAGCTCACAGTACAAAATATCCATTTTACTTACTTATTAGTGCTGTCAGTTAAACTTGTTATTAATGGCATTAACGCAAACCCATTTTAACATCGTCAATGTTTTTATCGCAAGATTAACATTCTTTTTGACCTAGCACACTTTGTAGTTTTTTTCACATGCTGTTGCAACAACTAGTAACGTTAGAAAAACACCGCACACACTTGTTTAAGAGTAGTAGACGTTACGTTTTGGGTGGATGGTGAGCACAAGACACCGAAATGGATGCCAATAATATTCTGAATGGGAAGTTTACTTTTAAAAAGTTGCCAAATGGTTCCATTGACAAGACCAAAGTGATCTGTGTGTTTTGTTGTTGTGAACTGAGCTATCATCGCAGCACGTCCAGTCTGAAATACCACTTGATGGCCGAGCACACAGCTGATGCGAATTCTCTGCCCCCTCGTCAAAGCCAGGCGACAATGGATGATTTTTCAATAAAAACAACATTTGCACAAAGCAAGCCGATCCACTTTTCCATGTTGATAAGAGCATTAAAATGAGAAAAAATAATGGGACAAAAAGAAATCAAGGGACATTTAGAATAGATAAAAATGTGCGATTAATTGCGATTAAATATTTTAATCGTTTGACAGCACTATTACTTATATTTACTGTACAATACTTTAAGGTATTTTTGTCATTGGCCATAAATCATACTGTATTCATATAAAAGAAGTCCATCAAAACAAGTGCAGCATATAATAGATAACGGTTTGAGCTACATACAGGGGCTAATCCAATAACAGACAAAAGTTGACCCATTTTAACTCCATTAAATGTTCCACAAATTGTCTGATGTGGACATAATAAAAGTGTATTCAGCAATTTGGTTTACAGTGAGTACTAATTGCAGAGTCAACCACCCTGTACTTCTGTACTTTTGCACCTCTAGCAATATTCTCCACCCTGAAAAAATTATGTTATACCCACCAGTGACTCAGCATCTACAGCTCATTCTGTCTGGTTTAAGGTTGCACACACATTTAGCATTACGCAAACAACCTTCCCGTGTAGATCGAAGCAATAAACTCTCTATCTTATCGCAGAGGCTTTCGAGGAGATGCTGCATTTCTTTGTCAGACAGATTAACTACTATGTCCATGAAATGTTTTCTGATTTTCTGATAGCTGTGATCACCCCCGTTATAGGTCTTATTTATCTTATCATCCCACCCATCAGAGCTCCTCTTTCACTGGACACTGAGCCAGTGACACAGGCTGGGATTGGCTGGTGATAACGCAGTCTTACACTCAGTCGGAAGGAGACTTTGATATTTTTTATGATGTTGTGTTTGATACTTTAATATCTGTACTTTGGCAACTTTAAAATAATGTCTGACCCATCTAACAACAAACCTTGTCGATGCAATTGAATGCACCAACAGTAGTTTTGCAAACATTCCCTGCTCTCAACTGTTTTATTTGTTACATGGCTCCAATCTAACCAAAAATAATCAAAGAATAAAGTTGAATGTTGTTGTGCACCTGTCTGTCTGTCTCTCTCTCTCTCTCTCTCTCTCTCTCTCTCTCTCAGCCTCTCTCTCTCTCTCTCTCTCTCTCTCTCTCACCCCAACTGGTCGAGACAGACGACCACCCACCTAGAGCCGGAGGATCTGTCCTAGGTTTCTGCCTTTTAACAGGCAGTGTTTCCTTGCCCTTATCTCCAAGGTCTTGCTCATGGTGGTACTGTTGGGTCTCTGTAATTAATGTTAAAGAGTTCGGTCTAGACCTGCTCTATTTGAAAGTGTCCTGAGATAACTTCTGTTATGAATTGGCGCTATACAAATAAAATTGAATTTAATTTAATTGAATGTTTAGTGTTTGGTGTCTACCTGGCAGCAGTTTGCGGCGGGCCATGGCAGCCGCTCTGTGGCTCTCATACTCGACGAAGGCGAAACCTCGGTTCTTGGATTTGTCGGCGGCGCTGGGGTACACAATGACGTCCATGACCCCGTCAGTGACCTTCTTCATCTCAGATAGGATCTCCTCGCGCTTCTTGGTTTTGGGAATCCCGCCCACAAACAGACGGCAGTTGTCAACGCTAGCACAAACTCCGAGGAGGCGGCCATTTCTGTAGGACGGAAGAGCAGCACAGTGGTGAGTAGAATGTAGACAAAATCAATAATTAAACATTGCAGCTACAAAGATCCGATAGATGATGCAAGAAAATATTGCAGCCATGGGTTCCAATCACAGGTTCTATTTTGGCTCCTTTGAAAGAAGGACCAAACCCTGACCTGATCTCATAGTTGTTGAGCTGCTTCATGGCTGCTTTGGCCTCCAGCTTGGTGCTGAAGGTGACGAAGGCATAACCTCGGTTGTTTCCGTTAAAGTCCATCATCATCCTCACCTCGTAGATCTTTCCAAACTGCAGACCGGAAGAGAGGAATGCAAAAAGATGTGAGAATAACATGCTAACCTGTTGGAGCAAGATATTATACTCTTCGTTTCTCACACCTTCTCACACAGAGGGACCAGTTCATCTTCAAACAGATCTCTCGGTAGTTTCCCCACAAAGATTTCACTGCCTCTCTCTGGTGGTGGGCCATCCCAGTCGGGTGGTGGGCCGCCGTACCGCCGCTGGCCGTTCTCCTGAAACATACCCCAAAAACAACAAATAAGCAAAAAAACAAACAGTACTGAGTAAAGTACTTAAGTAAAATATGTACTAATGCTCATTTTCAAGGGTCAACCAGTGATTTGTTAAATGAACTATTGAGATTGGTGGAGTCAGTCGGTTTCAGAGAAAGGTCCAGGATGTGTTGAGCTTCACTCAGCAGCAGCTTCCTACCTGCTGCAGTTGGTATCCTGTGCGTTGCATGAGTGCCCGCAGTGCTGCTTCCTTCTGCGTCCCCGCCAGTCCGTCCCCGCTTGCTTTCTGATTGGATTCCATTGGGTGTGATTGACAGCGATACGTAAATCAGGGAAATTAGGGGTGCTCACTGGAACACAAAAGAAAACAACAGATCGTTTTAATGCAAGTTTTTTACAGATGAAAACAGTAACACAGACAATACAGGAAGTAAAAAAAAAAAGGTTTGGGTAGAAACGCCTTCTGCACTGCACACTTAAAACACACCTGGCTTATAGGTCAGAGTATCTAGGTTAAATGTCACATGGTACAATTTTTCTTTTGATGGGTTTATGACTAAAAGACCCTGTATTCAGAAAGATCACATAATTATAATAATCAGAATAATAAACTTTATTTAAACAAAAACAAGTTACAAAGTGCCTTTAATGGATTAAAACTTTCAGGAGGACATTCAAATGGTATCCAGATCTCTATATCATATTATATAAAAATCCAAATAAAATCTGTCAAAGGTCCAGTCTGTAATCTTCTGCATATTGTCCATATCAACCTCTTGGATTGCACCAGATTTTTGTGCATTAATCCAGTACTACAACACCAAACCTGCTGATATTTCAGTCAGTTTTGGTCTGATTGAGGTGTTTATGTGAATCGGTTTAATTCTGCTTGTACTCTTATTTTAATTAGAATATTAGGCCCCATGTAAACATAGATAGTGCCTGTGTGTCCTCACAGAGTCCGGCCTGTTTTCGTGCTCTGAACAACAGATACGAGTCGTGTTTTGAAGTGAGCAGCAGGGAGGTCAAGGTCTGTTCAGTAATCATTGACAGAGACTTCGAACAGGTTGCAATCTGACTGTCTGACAGAGTGGAGGAACACAAGGCTTCACCTGGGAATTATGGGAACCCAGTTTATAAAACACACAAACACTCTTGAGGCCCTCATTGATCTAACCCAAACCCTAACCCTGTAACCCTAACCTCGACCTGAAACCCTGAAGCCAAGCCTCAATTTACAAAAAAGTGGTCTGTGTTGTTATCCAATTTTAATAAACGTTATTTATATGAATGTGTAGCATTGCTTCAAAAGCAATCATATGACAAGACAACATGCCAATAATCAGTAAATGTATCAATGCTCTCTCCCTGATTGATTATCTGTATGGTGATTTAATAAACAGTATAAACAGTTGAACTTTGGTTGCTGCTGCGTGGTTTACTTATCTGTGAGTCCCGAGTTGAAACTAACAGATCAAAACTCAGATCTAGTCCCAAATCAGTCCTGAGTCAAGTTTTGGACTAGACTAGGGACTGACTCAAATCTAGTCCCAAATCGGGAAAGAAAAGGATTTGTGGCACACTCTGTAAAAAACAAATTATTAATCTAAAGTATTTTCAAGGCAGTATAAACCACCAAAAATATAATTTCTATTTTTAGTTGGAATAAAACAATCCAGCTACTATTGACAGGAAGAGAAAGACACACACACACACACACACACACACACACACACACACACACACACACACACAGCTAAGTGGCTACTAAAAGCTAATTCTCTGAACCTTTTGAGAAACTCAGTGAAAATAAGAAACGAGCACTTCACATCAGAGAGGGAGGGACAGGTGACAGACAAAAGAAAACAGATAAAGAGAGGTCAAAGGTCACAACATGATGATGATGATAATGATGATGATGATCAACACACACCATCTCTTTGTTCACTGTAAAGTTTCAAAGTATCTACTGACTGTTTCAGAGTTTTGTCTCAGTGTAAATGTATTCAAACCCTAAAAACTCTGAAAAAAACACTGAATAAAATAAATAAATTAATAAATTAATAAATAGTTTTAGAGGTTAATAACAGTAATGAATAATTCAATGTGAACACTTCAGCTATGTGTTCATATTGAACACAGATGAAGGTGAGATGGTTTAAAGGTGAACTGGTTCAGGTGACCTGAGAGTCTGTAATCCACCAATCAATACTGCTGACAGAGGGGTGTTCACACACACACACACACACACACACATTGATCAGACTGATGATGAAGCGCTTGTGGCCTTTTGAAGACTCTATGAGCTATTATTTTATATATATATATTCCTATGGTCCTTTAGGTCTCTGTAAAAAGAATGCGACCAGGAGAGACCACGTCAGTCTAGTTCTCTCACTCTCAGGTGGTCTGGGATCAGGTCTGTGTCCTGAGTCCAAACTAAACTTGGAGAACCAGCATTTGTTTTTTTTAGAAACTCCCAGAAAACTGCGGATCTGCTGCAAGTCTCACTTCACTATTTAAACCCTATTTAACTGCATGTTTATATAATGTCTAATATCATATAACATAATATATATATACATAATAATAATAAATAATATATAATGGAGATACAATTGAAGAAGAAAATGTACTTTATTAATCGCCTTCAACATGCTCCACATGTCAGCAGTGGCGAAATGAACGTGTCACAAGGGTCTCACGCTCGGCAAAATGGCTCAATAGCGACACCTAAACAGCATCCCTGTGTGTATGAGTATGTGTGTGTGTATCATGTCCAGATGTGGGTCCATATCCCAAACCCAACAATATGTTGAATTTAGTGGTCATTTTTGGCGTTTTACATACAAAGTCCTCCTAGAGAATTGATCGACTGCAAATTCAGTCAGCAAACTCTAAAGACGAGTTTCAAAGGTAAAAATATCTTAATTTTATAGAGACGTTAAAGTCACATTAAGTTCTGATTAATGTTCTTCTGTTGCCATCTGTCTGTTTTATTTGAACCTTTTTAACCCATTCAGATCTAAATGAACTCAAAGTGCTGGCAATAGAGTTAGTACTTTACACTATTTCCACTGAAAGATCTCACAAAAAATCTCACTTTCTTACCTTAAAAATGACCAAATAGCATCAAAGCATTGTTATGATTTCATTATTAAAGTACGCACATTTATCTGCAGCTATCTGAACCCTTAAAACCTCTCAGTGAGAAACATTTTAAGTCTTTACTTTTGATGCTTTATCTTTTGGTCATATTTCTGTAAGTTTTTGTACTGGAGTATTTCTGTGTGGTACTACTGCAGTAAAATATGTGAATACTTTATATCATATTTTAAAAACATTTATATTCAGACCTGCAGTGACACTCCGGGTCGAGGGACATCCACGTATTTCTCTCTCTCTCTCTCTCTCTCTCTCTCTCTCTCTCCTGTTTGTTCAGTTAACCATGTTTCTGCTGGCTACTGTTCACCAGACACCAGCGAAGAAGAGCGGCTGAACGACACTAACTTTGCATGCTCTCTCTCTCTCTCTCTCTCTCTCTCTCTCTCTCTCTTTGTGGTTTTAAATAATTAAAATTCAAATGTAGAAAACCTTTTTGGTGAAAATCAGAAAAACTCACCTGAGCAATTTCAGAGATCACCTCCCTCCGATCAGAGCTGTGTCATTCTGGAGACCGAGAGTGTGTGTGTGTGTGTGTGTGTTCACGTGTCATCAGGGGCCTCACTCTGTGTGTGTGTGTGTGTGTGTGTGTGTGTGTGTGTGTGTGTGTGTGTGTGATCACATCATATCAAACTCCAAAGGTTCACTGTCTTGGTGTTAGCTTTACGAGCCGGCCGGCGTTAATGTTTAACTGGCTGCTATCTGTGGCACACACACACACACACACACACACATACACACACACACACATGCAAATACACAAACATAACACACACTTAACCAGCAGGACAACGTGTGTGTGTGTGTGTGTATGTGTGTGTGTTGCAGGAGGCCTTTGACCAGCAGTCACACACACACACACACACACACACACACACACACAGGGAGAACATGGCAGCTGCTGACCACTTTCTTCTGGTTAATAAAGGTTAAATTCAATGAAAGATGGCCGTTAAAGGCGCCACGTGTAACGTTCAAGTGTCTAGCTAGCTAATTAGCAAACTTTTAAAAACGTTGATTCTGGCTGTGTTTATAACAGCTGGAACACAAACCACAAGCACTGGTTGTGTTGCCGTGGTAACACATCTGTCACACACACCACAGTTATTGTTGTGTAACCCATTAATGTCCACAGTGGACTTTTATAACTTCCTTTACAGAACTTAAAGTCCTCATGAAGTTAAAATGCAGAGTCTTTATCTCCTCAGTCTCCTGCCGTCAGCGGGCGACAGAACCGGGCTCAGCAGCCGGACCGGGACCGAACACAACCTCCGAGACCACGGGGAATAACGTTACAGTACCGTTGAAAATCAGTCAGGAATTTCAGATCTTCATAATTTTTGATACACAACTGTTGAAATATAGATTCAAATAATAAGATAATCTGTAACGACATGAAAAGGGAGCTGTGTGTGTGTGTGTGTGTGTGTGTGTGTGTGTGTGTGTGTTGGTAGTCAAACAGTCAGGTCCTTGATTTGATCAAAGGTGGAGAGACGACCACAAACACACCCAGTATATATATATAAATATATATGTATAGACATAAATAGTTAGGAACAGAAATGTACACATAATGAACTGATCTGTTATGACCACAGTTTAGACAAAAGACGATTTGTGAATAAAACAACTTTAACTAAATGTTAAAAGTTGGTTTGTCTTTATTATGGACGAGATATTACATAATGGAATCAACTAAATTAAATATTGTGATTCTATTCACTACAGTAATCCCACATTCATTATTAATGTATATGCATTAGCAAGGATTAGATAAGATCTTCAGTCCTAATAATACTCACACAACAGTTAAAGGTTGTAAAACATATTGTTTCACTTGTTATACACACAGAAGTTACCAAACTAACTTTACATTGTGTGTTTGATTACAGTTAATTAAACAAATATGTTTCCTTTATGTGACAGTACACACAATGTAAATACACAGTTTAATGAAGAGTGACTGGAAGAAATATTATATCACAACCACAAAGAAAAGAGCTGTGAACACAGCGAGCAGCCAGCAGAGGGCGCCACAGGGCAGCAGCACACACTGAAGATCAGTTGAGTTTTACACTGAAGGAAAAGACAATCTGTGGTCGTACTGTACTGGCAGTGATATTTCACTGATGAAACCAGGTTGAAGAAAGACAAAAGGCTCCGTGTTGTTGAATAATGATCATCAGACTGAAGTATAATGAACCATTATAGAGCGTGCAGTATGGACCTGCTCTTTATGGAAAGTAACTGTTGTGATTTGGTACGAAATAAAACTGAATTCAAACAGGAACCTGATCTGGAGACAACTGATGTCTTTTCTGTGTCATTATTAAAACATGAGGATTTAATGGAGCATTTTTGATATGATGTCATTTTGATTATAAACATTTCTTGAGTCAAATCTTTTTTTTACAGGAACTGGTGTTATTGTGAAGGCGGCCCCTACAACCTGGATTATAATGGATCTGAATGTGTAGAAGGTACAGGGAGGGTGAAAGGGGTTGTAATGACAGCCAGCAGCCAGCAGAGGGCGCCACGGGGCAGCAGCACACACTGAAGCACTGACACTGAACTGTTTCCTCTTTAAAGCTCTAGGGCCCTATCTTGCCGATCTGAAGTGCAAGTATCAAACGCAAAACGCAAGTAGCTTTGTGGGCGGATCTTGGCGCTGTTGCTATTATGCCGGCGGGATAAATGACTCTTGCGCCCGGCGCAAATCTAAAATGGGTTGTTCTGAAGTAGCTACATTAGTCATAGGTGTGGTTTGGGCGTAACGTGCAATAAACCAATCAGAGCGTCATCTCACATTCCCTTTAAAAGCAGGCGCGCTTGTTCCATGGAGGATTGCTATTATAACGGCGGATTGGCCAGGCGCACGCCAGGAGCGGTTCACAGCCGAGGAGACCGACGTTATCAGAGGCGTAAAAGACCGAAGTGTCATTATTGACATGAAATAAATGTAACACAGCCATACAATAAATCAAAACAATGTAACGCAGCTTCGCAGGAAGAAGACCCTGGCCTCGGGAGCAGTGCGCAAGGGCCAGCTGAGGAGGGAGCAGCGCAAACACCAAGGTGCAGAGGATCCAGACCCACTACACGCCGGAGGACCACCCGTTCCTGCAGCAAACCGGGTTTGACATGCTGGAGCGGGAGCTGTCCGGGATGCAGCAAAGTATTAATGCCCGTCTTGACCGGGTGGCGATGTTGCTGCTGCCTCTCGGGCGCATCCCCTCAAGTCTGCGCCCTTAAAACAGCATCTGAATAAGCGCCACTGACTTTAGACTAGGTTTTTCCTGGTCTGTGGCGGAATTGTTTTCTGAAACAGCAAAATAGCACCAGGGAACGTTTGCGCCGGAACACGCCTCCTCTTTTCGCTGAACCGCCCCCCGGAGCGCAAGTTCATTCCCTAATTTAAGGACGTGCGTCGGTGGAGGGAAAATTCCAATGTGCGTCGAGTGCAAAATAGGAATTATACAAGCGCCAGTGTACAAGGTCAATTGCGCTGAGTGCAAGATAGAGCCCCCAGTGTGTAACATCACTGTAATATAATATTCATGGTTTCATACTAGCAAGTCCTCTTCTGGCGGAGTCCGCCATGTTGACCCACCATGTTCATGACTCGAGTGACATCACTTGAGGACATTTATCAGACTTCACACAGCGCCCTCTGGAGACGCTGAAGAATTCATACAAGACTACTTTTGTGTTTGACTTCTCTTTTCTTTTGGTGGCGTTTTACATCTTTTTTTGATGATTTGTGTCTTGTTTAGCATCTTTTTAGTTTTTTTTAATGTTCTTTTCATCGATTTTTATTGTATTTTATCTTTTTGTTTGTTATTATTGCCGTTATTTTTTTTACTTTTTTCATCTCTTTGTAGTTGATTGTATTTTCTCATAGTTTGTCTTTTTCATGGCTTTGTAGTTTTAGTTTTTATAGTCTTTTGCGCCTTTTTGTGTCTCTTTGTGTGTGACTTCTCTTTTCTTTTGTGGCGTTTTACATCTTTTTTTTTTTTCTGCACCTTTTTGTCAAATCTGTCATTGTGTACCTACAACCTGGATTATAATGGATCTGAATGTTGTGTTGTTAAAGGTAACACTGTATGCAGATAAAGAAAAGGGAGGGTGAAAGGGGCCCCCAGCCCCAATCGGGTTTAAATCCGGCACTGACACACAGATCTCTAGAAGCATCATTTTTAAAATACACATAAAATAAATGTCATTTTCATTCACTTTATGGTCATACAAGGGAGTTGAGTCAGGGAATTCATCCAAAGGATAGACGATGAGCGGGAAGAGGAGGAAGAGGAGGAGGAGGAGACCAACTTTTGGACGCACCGGCAGAGTCGCGGTCCTCTCCTCCGTCCAACCTCCTGCTGCTCCGCATTAAACTAATTAAACTAATGAGGGTGATTAAAGCGGACCAGATCTGCAGCCCCACATCCTCTCTGGTCATTTAGGCCATCTCCACAGGATCTGCAGCTTTCTGCCGTTTATCTCTCCGGGTTTCCTCCGCCGGCACACTCACATGTCAGCTGGATTTGGGATCATTTCCTTTCGTTTGGTGTCGGATTTCAGCCGTCGTTGCCCCCCCAGCGGAGGATTGAACCGAGAAAAGTGATGTGAGAGGTGAATTGCGGATTCGTGGGCTCTTTTGTTTTTTGATTTTACAGTCAGTCATCGCACTTTTCCTCCTCACTTCGGCGCTCTGCGGAAGAAACGTTTTCTTCTTTCCCTCCATCACCTGACTGATTCCAACCAGAGGATCTTTGTAGGTTTCATTTCGGATTTGAAATGTTTCCCGGTTTCTTTTTTCTGCTCTCACCTGGATTCACCTGGAGGTTTTTACTGCGCTTTAATCCTCTTTAAGGAATAAATCCAACGCACAGAAAACTGCAGTTTTACCTCCGCACGGACCGAGTCTGAGCAGTTAAACCTGGAATATTTTCTTGTGTTATTCTTTTGAATATGAATATTCTGCAACCTGTGGATGTGTATTTCATTTACCAGGACTCACTTTCAACTTTGTTTGCCTCTGGTAATTTGTGTGCTGCTCTTCCATGAGATACTTATCTGCTATAATCACATTTCCTGGAGGAGAGAAAATTCTGGAAGCAGAAAGGTTCCCCAGTTTTCCACTTCACCGCCTTTGTTTCATATCAGACTTTCATTTAGAGGAAGGAAGGTAGAAACCAGAGCACCAGCTGTTTCCTCTTGTTTTTCTTTTTACAGTTTGAGTGAATTTATTTATTGTCTAAAATCACTTTTATTTCCTGAAAGACGGAGCAGAAAACTACAGTATGAGGCACCTTGGAGAGCCTTGAAAAACTTAAATGAACCCTCAAAATGAATTGAATTATTGAATTATTTTGTACCTAGGAGAACCTTTTCAGATCCTAAAGCAACTATTGCTTAATATGAGCAATCCTGAACATGGAATAACTCTAGAGGGACCTGGAGAGCCCAATGAAACACCAAACCTTTGAGAAATGCCAGACATCATGCCATAAATGTGGAGACTTCTGAAAAGTGTATCTCAGAGAACCCCAGATGAAACCTAGACCCTGAAGGTATGAAGACTCCTTTAAGAACCCTGAAAGAACCTGGAAATCAGGGAGACCCCCAAGGAAATCTTGTGAACTCCTCTGAGAACGTTAGGGGGACCCTAGAGACCCTCAGGCAATCAAGGGACTGCTGAGAATCTGGTGAAACTCCCAAAGCAGTCAGAGGAATCTCTGAAGATCTTTAAAGACTCTTAGAAGCTCTTTAGATGCTGTAAATGTAAGAGGAACTCTTCTAAAAAAAACTCTCTCAAGGGTCCAAAAACATCTGGGGAGTTCTGTAAACCTGGAGGAACTCTGAAGTACCCGGAGAGCAACGGAATAACCCAAAGACTCACAAGACTCAAAACTCCAAGCTCACAGGAATGCTAAAGATCTAAGTGGAACCCTGAAAGCCCCTCTGAGAAACTACTCAAGTACTTTCGGGATCCTGAGTAAATCTGCTGAGAACCTGGAGAAACCCTGTGAGATCTCTAAAGACCTTAAAGACTCTTTGAGTAGCTCTGACAAATGCTAGTCACCCAAGAAGAAAGTCTAAATTATCTCTACCTCTAGGGACTCTGGTTCCACTAAGAAATCTAAAGGAGCCATAAGGAACCCTGACCCGAAGGAAATCTGGGAACGCTTGAAGACCTTGAGGTTCCCAAGAGTTAAATGCTTTGAGGAACTCTATCCTCTAGATCCAGAGGTACCCTAAGAACTCCTCGGGACCCCCATCAGAGAACCAATGGGCACCCTACGAGACCTGCAGTACGCCCTGCAGGAGAAGATCGAAGAGCTGCGACAGCGTGACACCCTGATTGATGAACTGGAGCTTGAACTGGATCAGAAGGATGAGCTGATCCAGCGGCTGCAGAACGAGCTGGACAAGTACCGGTCCGTGCTCCGTCCAGCCACCGCCCAGCAGGTCCAGGCCCAGCAGCAGAACATGGTCTTGCAACCAGACCAGCACCGCAGCAAACGGCAGGCCATCTCCGCTGAGCCCACCGCCTGCGACATCAGTGACCTCAGCCACGTCACCCTGCCCTTTTACCCCAAGAGCCCAGAGTAAGTCCACTTTATGCGTGTGCTAGCCGGTCAGATAGTTCTGGTTTTATTTGTCCAGGTTCCGAGAAATCTGTCTCCACCAGAATAAGTCAGTGGACTTTATTTTGTGCTTCCTCAGTCTGTGGCAGTAGGACAGGTTAAGTCTGAGAAGTTTGAATGATACTCAGCGTCAGTATATTTGGTTGTACAGATTTTCAGTAAAATGTTACAAAAAAAAATTTGAAAATCTGCTGGGAATTCTAACATTAGCCATGCCAGCAGTGCAAAGAATCAGTGATCACAAAACATTATCGTATTGCTGTAATCGGGATGAGGTAGTCTGATCAGGACGTTTTTCTTCCTCCATTTTTAACCATAAGCACAATAACAAAATATCTATTTCAGCTCTAACACAAAGATGAACAGTTTAGCCAGCAAAAAGTGACAAGACGACCCAATGTGCGGCTACGAAAAGGCTGCACGATATCATACTGTCATTATTTTGCCATGTATTGTGATTGCAATAGGATTCATGATTAGTGGGAATTATCACTTTTGCATCACAAATGTAATTTTCACTTTAAAAACTTTATGTAAAAATGCACTTGGCCATTTTGCAATAATATTGTGATTAATCTTGTAGCCCTTCTCCCCCAGGTGACATACCACAGTATGCATTAGGCCCAAGTACACCACTATAAACACTCGACAGAGAACACAGTCTAGTGTTTATATGTGGAAATATTAAACTTATAAATATAGTGTTGAGCGTTTTCTTGATCAGACCGGATGAAGACACAGCTGCGGTTTGTTTTGGGGTAAAGTTCAGGACGCAGAACAAAGCGTAGGAGACAGGACACATGAACATATTGTCATTAAAAGCTTCTTTAAATGAAAGAACCAGTGTTGTTGAGGAACTCGTCTATTCTTCCTCTGTATTTGCTGGTGAAACTCTGCTGTGTTTAGAGGAGAAGCAGACAGTTAGTGAGCTGGTTCTCGATGCCCACCAGGCTCTGCTCAGGGAACATGTCTGTTCTCATGGAGATGTTTGAACTCAGCAGGCTGCTGTCGTAAACGTCTGATGAAAAGCAGGCAGATGAGTGGAGGCTGCCAGTACAACTCCTGCAGGCCTCCAGGAAGATTAAAACTTTCAGACGTTAATGTTTCCCTGCTGGAAAACTGCTCCCATCAGTCCACGGTGCGCAGGTGGGGAGAAGGAAACCATTGATATCCTCTAGGAGTGAATATTTATATGTTGAATATGGAGTTTAATCTCTTCTTTCTTGTGGTTTCTCTCCAGTCAGATAGTTTGATTTGTCCAACCTATTTCTGAGATTTCTGCCTTGACAACAGAGGTGGATGGGTTTTAGTGTCTTCCGCTCACAGCTTTAAAAACGTATGTTAAAAAACTCACCACCACCTTAATATTCAATACGTTCTCATCCCAGGTCGTCAGATACTGACAGCGCATTGTCGAGCTGTAGGAGGACAAGGAGGACTCCCTAAAAACCTGGTGTTTCACCTGGATGTATAATAAACTGTACTATAATACAGTGCACTGAATTAGACTCACATTCAATATAAGATCAGTTTATTGGAGGCGTCATGTATAAAGGCATACAGAATGTACTGTTCATGTTTTCCAGTAATTTCTATATTTGGTCCCAACCTATGTACGTGGAAATGGATAACCTGCCTTGGAAGCCACTTTGGGCATGGATGTTTGAATGAGTTAGTTTCTGTTTGTGATTAGCCTTGGTCGCAGTTTGGCTGGGTTCAGGATCATATCATGATGTGGGACCTCACATGACTCAACTATGTACGTAATGTTATAAAACATTAAACTTCCACACACAACCAGCCGCCTCCTTATGTGGACTTTCTTACTCTTTACACTATCACCTTACACAGGGTTACATTAGAGTCAGATAAAAGCCTGCTACATCTCATACAGACATTAACAGGCACCTTGTGCATCTTTATGGAGACGCCTAGGGGTAAAAAATAAAGTGTATATATATATATATATATATATATATATATATATATATATATATATGTGAGTGAAAATATACCTTTGTGAAAGGAGAATGTGTGTTTGAGATTGCCAGAAGGAATTATGGCTTGTATGGCCCCTCATACATTTGCAGTATGCATCACTGCATGTACAGCGTTTTTCTTTCAGTCTTCAGAGACACACAGGTGTCCCTGTGGAGAGAGTCCAGGTTCTGGACCTCAGCAGGTCGTCTCTGCTGAAGATGAATGAAAAAAGGCCCGACAGCTGCTGCTGTCACAGATCTGTATTTATACACATATGAATATGAAAATGTGTGTGTGAGACAGCAGAGTGGGAGGGACTCTGAGCCTGGAGACATGCAGTCCGACTCTCAAAAGAATCAGTTTAAAGATCTGCTCCTGAGTTTCCTGTGTTTTACTGGTTTTTCTGGATCCTGTAAGGAATCAGGAAGTGAACCTGAATGTGCCCGGTGGAATTTACGGGGAACCGTCGGACGCAGACTGGTGTGGTTGACTGCAGAATTAGCTTTTGACGATTTTGTACAAATTTAGCTAAAAGTTGCATTAAATTTGGATGGAAACTACAGCTGATTGGTTAGAATAAGATATGACACAGGATGTTTCTTAGAGTCTGACTTTGTTCTTTCTGTAGATAAACACTGCAGCCTTCATAAGCCACTATGTATAAACTATAACTCTATAAAACACATCTACATTTTAGTCTTTTCATACACAGTTAAAATGCAGATAGGCGGAGAAACGTTTGCTGGGATTGAACCTGAGACCTTTACGTTACAGTACAGCCTCTGAGACTCCCACACAGTGAGAGAATGTGACAGATGAACTGAGATCTACCTGTTCAGTGTGTACCTGAGCAGCAGGTGGTCCTCCTCCCTCTGGGTCTTCTCATTAAGCAGACAGCAGGAGGTCCAAATCCTCCCGAACTCAGTTTGAGTCTCTTCAGACATTGCTGGACCCAGTCGGTCTGATAGCAGCAGCTCGCTGTGCCTCTAACAGCTCCTCTGGTTGCTGGAACAGGCAAAGTAGCCATCATAACGATTCTACTTGTAGCTGTTGAAACTACTTTGTATTCACTTGTGTGTTGTTCCTACTTGTTATAATTATGATTCTAATTATAATGTTTCCACTGGAAGTGATGATGCTTCTAAGCCGGACATTTCTTCTTCTAGCGATAATGTTTCTACTGGAAACAAGTTTGTGTCTACTTCTAACAACTTCAGTTGGACTTGTGGTGAAGAAATCTGTACTTTAGCAACCGTGTTTGGACTTTCTACTCGGAAAGATAATGTTTGCTTTTAGTTTTTGTTTGTAGTGATTTATCATTTGTAGTTTTTCATTTCATCTGTAGTGAGGATATTTCTAATTGTAGTTAATGATGTTTCTTTTTGTGTTGATGACATTTCTGCTCTGTTTAATGAGTCCCTAAATTTAACGGAAGTGAAGGTGTAGCTCACAGGAGTGCTGCTTTAAATGATGCTCTATTTTCCAGCCCTTTGCAAGCATCCATTTCCCAGAGCTCTGTATAATATAATGTGTTTCTCTGTCTGTCCACGCCAGCAATAACAACCACTGTGTTGGTTTTTAATCCGTGTGGTCCGCCCACACACACACACACTCACACACACACACACACACACACACACACACACACACACACACACACAGAGAGAGAGAGAGAGAGAGAGAGAGAGCTCTACACAGGCAGCTGACAGGTTTTCATTTACCATCCCACCACTTCTGGCTGTCAGCGTCCTGCAGCCTGCCTGTGTGTGTGTGTGTGTGTGTGTGTGTGTGTGTGTGTGTGTGTGTGTGTGTGTGTGTGTGTGTTATTTTGGAACATAAATAAAAGTATTACAGTAAAGTGTGTGTGGGCTGTGAACGCCCACCAGCTCTCCTGCTGTCTGCAGTAACGCTTCATAAGCATTTTCGGCTCGTCGCAGCAGACGAGTTAATGATCAGCTGAGACTCAACTGTCACAGATCTGCTGCTGCGAGAGGACTCTTATTTTGAAACTGACCAGTTCCTGGTTGTCACAACATCATCCATGTTTTTACTGCAGCGATAACCTTTCTACATGTAGTCAGTACAAGGACCACAGCAATGGTGCTTCTATTTCTAGCACTGACGTGTTTACTTGTAGCGTTGATGTGTTTACTTGTAGCATTGATGTGTTTACTTGTAGCATTGATGTGTTTACTTGTTGTAGCACAGATGTGTTTACTTGTAGCATTGATGTGTTTAGTTGTAGCATTGATGTGTTAACTTGTAGCATTGATGTGTTTAGTTGTAGCATTGATGTGTTTACTTGTAGCATTGACATGTTTACTTGTAGCACAGATGTGTTTACTTGTAGCATTGATGTGTTTACTTGTAGCATTGATGTGTTTACTTGTTGTAGCACAGATGTGTTTACTTCTAGCATTGATGTGTTTAGTTGTAGCATTGATGTGTTTACTTGTAGCATTGATGTGTTTACTTGTAGCATTGATGTGTTTACTTGTTGTAGCACAGATGTGTTTACTTGTAGCATTGATGTGTTTACTTGTTGTAGTACAGATGTGTTTACTTGTAGCATTGATGTGTTTACTTGTAGCACTGATTTGTTTACTTGTAGCATTGATGTGTTTACTTGTAGCATTGATGTGTTTAGTTGTAGCACAGATGTGTTTACCTGTAGCACAGATGTGTTTACTTGTAGCATTGATGTTTACTTGTAGCATTGATGTGTTTACTTGTTGTAGCACAGATGTGTTTACTTGTAGCAATGATGTGTTTACTTGTAGCATTGATGTGTTTACTTGTAGCATTGACATGTTTACTTGTAGCATTGATGTGTTTACTTGTTGTAGCACAGATGTGTTTACTTGTAGCATTGATGTGTTTACTTGTTGTAGCACAGATGTGTTTACTTGTAGCATTGATGTGTTTACTTGTAGCACAGATGTGTTTACTTGTAGCATTGATGTGTTTACTTGTTGTAGCACAGATGTGTTTACTTGTAGCATTGATGTGTTTACTTGTAGCACTGATTTGTTTACTTGTAGCACAGATGTGTTTACTTGTAGCACAGATGTGTTTACTTGTAGCATTGATGTGTTTACTTGTAGCACAGATGTGTTTACTTGTTGCACTGATTTGTTTACTTGTAGCACAGATGTGTTTACTTGTTGCACTGATGTGTTTACTTGTAGCTGTGATGGACCTGCAGTCAGCAGCTCTTCTCCCCTGCAGTGATGGTGACTTTCACCTCCCTGTGGTGATGCGTGTTGTTTGTTAGTCAGATGGAAACTGGTCTGAGAACAGGATATGATAGTCTGTCCCCCGTTCCCCTCGGTGCTTTCTAAAATATATTAGTCTCCTCTCTGTTTCCAGTTTTTCTTCATCTCTGTCACTTTGTCTCCTCATTTTCTTTCTTCTGAAGTCATTTCTTTCCCTCTCCTACCTCACACTCCTCTCTGTGCTCCTCCTCTGTTCGTCTCTTTGAATTACCTCCTCTTACTTTCTTGTCTTCTGCTTCTTTCTTTCTTTTATGTTCGCCTTCTTTCATGTCTGCCTGGTTTCTGTCCACTTTATCTTTATTTTGTGTCTTTCAGCCTCCTCCAACCTGTAAATTCATGCTCGGCCTCCCTGTTGTGTTTTGTTTTTCTTCATTCATCCCTCCCTCCCCTGTGACTCACGCAGTAATAGCATGAGGGTCTACTTCACCTCCCCCCTTCGTCCAGTCACAATGCGTCTTCATTGAAGTCGGTTTCCTCCTGAATCCAATTTACATGCAGATACTGAAATATTTCTTCCACTGCAGATTCACCAAAATAATATCGGGCTCTAATAGGTCCTCTTGGCGCTCCTCTCATCCACTGGATACAATAAAACTCTCTTTTTCTTGTTAGGTGGACCTTTTAAGTTTCTATCTTGACAACAGAGTTATCTCTCAGAAGCGAGTGTTTCTCAGCCTCAGTCGGCCACCTCGGCTCCCGACATTTCTAATATCTCAACTGTGAATTTAATTTGGGCCTAACTGTCACCTGAGTGGCAAACTCTCAGACAGGAGAGAGTCAGCTGAGGTAGGGAGGTTGTTTCTACCAATCAGAAGCCTCAGAGCTAAAATGTGTCCAACTGCAGTTCTTCTGATGTCCACTAGATGCTCAGACCTCAGACTATTCAGACAGCTGCTTTTAAACCTCTAATGAGTCACATTTCCTCAATAATCAGTGTATAAACTCTAGAGCTATGTTCTATATGTAGTTGATTCAATCAATAATCTATAATCAATAAACAGTGTATAAACTCTTGAGCTGGACACATTCAAATCCATCCCATAGTTACACTACGGTCCACAGAGCGCTGCTAACAACAAAGGTTCTGATTGGTCAGCTGGTTTCAGATGGAGGAGGAGATGAACTGTTTCCAGATGTGTTAAACCCTCTGAGGGTTCAGAGCTGATCCAGCTGTGGCTCTGCTGTAATGTCTCTCTCTCTCTCTCTCTCTCTCTCTCTCTCTCTCTCTCTCTGTCTCTCTCTCTCTCTGTTGTTCTTTTTGTCTGTCTGTTTTTCTTTCCTTTTTTCTGTTGTCTCCTTGCCTCTCTTTCTTCTCTGTCTCTCTCTCTCTGCCTGTCTCTCTCTGTGTGTCTCTCTCTGTCTGTCTGTCTCTCTCTCTCTCTGTCTGTCTCTCTCTCTCTCTATCTATCTCTGTCTGTCTCTCTCTGTCTCTCTGTCTCTCTCTCTCTCTCTCTGTCTGTCTGTCTCTCTCTCTCTCTGTCTGTCTCTCTCTCTCTCTATCTATCTCTGTCTGTCTCTCTCTCTCTCTCTCTCTGTCTCTCTCTCTCTCTCTCTGTATGATGTACCACTGTACATATTGCTAAAGCAAGCGTTTGGAATTAAAATAATAATAATAACAATAAAGGAAAACAATATTTACAATAAATGAATTATAATCTATACTGTTGGTAATACTGTAACTATGATTGACTCAATTACAATCACAGTCACAATCAATCAATCTCAGTCAATAAGTAATTAATCACAATCAATCAATCAATCAGTTTGTGTCAACTACAAATGTCATTAAAACAGTAGTAAAGTAACTACAGTTAAAACAAGTAGTCTGTTGTCAATATAACAGTAATAACAAATTATTAAATATAATATATATAATATATAATATTAAAATATTAAAATAAAATAGATAGATAAAACTGTAGCAAAAAAAACCTAAAACTAAAACAATCAATTATTTTATACATTTATCTGAGTTTCCACTGGTTGTCCTCAGTTCGTGGCATGAGGAGACATATTTTGCTGCAATAATTTGACT